TACAAACAATAGTACGCAAGTATAAACACCATGTCTCCTAGAGATGAACGTACCTTGGTGAGAAAAGTGTAAATCAATCCCAGAACAACAGCAAATGACCATGTGAAGATGCTGGAGGAAACAGGTACAGAAGTACCTATATCCACTGTAAGACGAGTCCTATATCGACATAACCTGAAAGGCCACTCAGCAAGGAAGAAGCCACTGCTCCAAAACCGCCATAAAAAAGCCAGACTACGGTTTGCAACTGCACATGGAGACAAAGATCGTACTTTTTGGAGAAATGTCCTCTGGTCTGATGAAACAAAAATAGAACTGTTTGGCCATAATGACCCTTGTTATGTTTGGAGGAAAAAGGGGGTAGCTTGCAAGCTGAAGAACACCATCCCAACCATGAAGCACGGGGGTGGCAGCATCATGCTGTGGGGGTGCTTTGCTGCAGGAGGGACTGGTGCACTTCACAAAATAGATGGCATCATGAGGAAGGAAAATTATGTGGATATATTGAAGCAACATCTCAAGACATCAGTCAGGAGGTTAAAGTTGGGTCGCAAATGGGTCTTCCAAATTAACAATGACCCCAAGCATACTTCCAAAGTTGTGGCAAAATGGCTTAAGGACAACAAAGTCAAGGTATTGGAGTGGCCATCACAAAGCCCTGACCTCAATCCTATAGAAAATGTGTGGGAAGAACTGAAAACGCGTGTGTGAGCAAGGAGGCCTACAAACCTGATTCAATTACACCAGCTCTGTCAGGAGGACTGGGTACCCGAAACGTTTGACCCAAGTTAAACAATTTAAAGGCAATGCTACCGCATACTAATTGAGTGTATGTCAACTTCTGACCCACTGGGAATGTGATGAAATAAATAAAAAGCTGAAATAAATCATTCTCTCTACTATTACTCTGACATTTCACATTCTTAAAATAAAGTGGTGATACTAACTGACCTAAGACAGGGAATTTTTACTAGGATTAAATGTCAGGAATTGTGAAAAACTGAGTTTAAATGTATTTGGCTAAGGTGTATGTAAACCTCCGACTTCAACTGTATGTGTGTGTGTGGGCATGCAAATCAGACAGGGAATTTTTAGTAGGATTAAATGTCAGGAATTGTGAAAAACTGAGTTTAAATGTATTTGGCTAAGTGTATGTAAACTTTCTACTTCAACTGTAGTTGTCTTGATGGTAACACTTGAGAGTGGAGAATGTGCACATTGGGGCTGGGGCACTGCTGAATTAATGCTTTGAGAGGGGCTGGTAGGATGGAGCTTGTGAGGATGCTGATTGATATGCTTCTTAATAAAAACCTATTTGAAACAAGCCATTACACTTCGTTATTATCATGACATTGCATTATTATTATTCAGGTTATTCCTTATAAATATTAATTAACAAATTAAGAAATTCCAGGTTTGAGAGGATATGTCGCATTTTCTTATTGACAACATTAATGGAGTCAATAAAGATATATGCCTACCTTGTCCTTGTCTGTTGACTTTTCTGCATATAATTTGTTTTAATACAGATCCTATTTCGACGTACAAAACCATTCAAACGAAGTCCGATTGGTTTACTCGCATAACGTCACAAAACCTGCTGCCGCGGTCCTTCGATGGCAGTGGCATTTATATATTTTCTTCAAAGAGAGGACGCCGTAATGAGATAAATAATGTAGCCTAAGCTACTGAAAATAGGCCTTTTACAAGATAAAATCATGACAGGAGCGTTTGATTCGTATTAAAGAGAGATGTCGTCCAGACAGGCTACTTTATGAAACGTTCTGAATGGACATATAGGCCTATAGAGAGAATCAGCGAACTCACACACACTTCCGTAAATCAAAGCCACCAGCCTATGTCAGACACGAGCAAATATTTATCCTTTCCTTAAAACGTATTTAAAAACCTAGGCCTAATTTAGGCTTCCCGAAAGTAGGCTATAAGATAATGAATTGACAAGTAAAGTATGAAAGGGACAGCTATGCTATAGTATGAAGATGAAATTGACAATCATTCAAATAGAAACAAATACACGCAACACAGCCTTTTTATCAGCGACGCAGATTATCGAGTGGGCGAGTGTTGGAAAGGTTTTTCAAATACTGTGAGGAACTATTGTAATTTGAACGGATGTAAAAAAAAAAAAATATATATATATATATATATATATATATATATATATATAAATACGGACTTCGTTGACTTACTGTTGTGAAGAAAAAATGACTGAGAAGCCCAGCTAGGCACTTCTCTACATTTTACATTTGTGAGAAGCAGGCCAGCCAGGTACTTCTATGCGTGCTCAGGCGCGCGTGCGCTCAATCAACATTAACAGGACAGAGAAACCAGACATGCTCATTGCACATATGGAGCGTGTAAATGATGAATGAAATAAACCAAAACATGTTTCTCACAAGCGTAGCAGGTTGTGAACTCTGCAAACAATGTTTCCACTTCGAGAATGAGAAACTGGTAAATGACGCTACTAGAATGAGGCTACTGTTCTACTTCGTGGGGATAGGAGGGCGACAATCTTTTTTTTTTGTCTCGTTTAGGTTGGCATATCAGAGGCAGAACAACCTTGTCGACTGCTGTTGAATAATTAATGAATAGTCAGATACATCCAACCTTTTAAAAGAAGACCGATTTATTTATTTACCAGAAAGTTAGCAAGCAATGAAACTGTGCATTGTATAAAATAGATTCCACACATCAAATTCTGTTTTTACTGAAGTGCCATAGCCTATAGCGCTCTATACCCCCGCGCATCTAGGGATTAGCTGCTCAAGCATCAAAGGACAGTTGGAAAGAGAAGATGTAGAACGTTTAATAGACATAGTTTGCAAAACAATTGCTTTATAATCATTAGTAAAACTTTACCTAATAGCGGGAGTGATATCTTCATGAAAATAAAGTTAATAAAAATTAATCCTAAAATTAATGTAGGCCTATTTAAATGGTTTTGATGGTTACTTCATCTATAACCGTCAGTTACACGGTTATTCAATTACTGTCACAGCCTTATGCATATGTGGTCTCAATGTTTAAATAGTGACAGCAGGGCTAATTGTAACTGTGGGACTTGGTGAATCGATCATGGGAGCCAAAAGTGAGAGACAATAATGAATAAAGACGCCTGCCTTTCATCTTTCAGGACCTGCATTTCCATTGTTAGAGCAGTCACTTAAATATATTGTCAAGATAATAGACAATCTTTGACGTAATCTATTCTGTGATATGATGAACCAAAGCATAATGGCTAAAATCAAGCCGTTTTCTCTGAGGAAAAGAGGGAGACTTGCCTAGTACATTGGCTACAGAACCTGGCATGAAATGCAGTGGGAAAGTGTGATGGTTGAGCGAGACTACAAATTCAAAAACGTTTCTATACTCAAGGGAGAGAAAAACATAGCTAGACTATTGTTTCACTATCAAACTTAATGCTGCTATTTTATTTATTTCATAAAGCAGTATACTACTGGCTAACTCATTGATTCTGCTTTGTAGTTTACCCCTCTGACATAGGCTTGAACCAGAATCGGAGTTTACAGGATATGTTGAATATGGTGATTCTCCTTTAAGCCTTGAAAGCAGCCATTCAACTTGTCATTCACCAGCTTTTCAAGCTTAATAATGTCAAAAATATGTTCAGTATTGACTAAATAATTGAGTTTATCTGAGAAACCATCACCATTACTGCCGTTCGGGGCCAGTATGTACTTAAAAAAAGGTCTAAATAAAAAGTTACATGCAACCGAAAAAATGCCTTGTCTGGAAAGAATCAATACTGAACAAAAATATAAACCCAACATACAACAATATGAACGATTTTACTGAGTTACTGTTCATATAAGGAAATCAGTCAATTGAAATAAATTCATTAGGCCCTAATCTATGGATTTAATGGGTTACTGGGGAGTCAGGCCCAGCCAATCAGATGAGTTTTCCCCCACAAAAGGGCTTTATTACAGACAGAAATACTCCTCAGTTTCATCAGCTGTCCGGGTGGCTGGTCTCAGACGATCCCGCTGGTGAAGAAGCCGGATGTGGAGGTCCTTGGCTGGCGTGTTTACACATGGTCTGCGGTTGTGAGGCCGGTTGGACGTACTGCCAAATTCTCTAAAACGACGTTGGAGGCGGCTTATGGTAGAGAAATGAACAATAAATTCTCTAGCAACAGCTCTGGTGGACATTCCTGCAGTCAGCATGTAATGATCATGCTGTTTAATCAGCTTCTTGATATGCCACACCTGTCAGGTGGATGGATTATCTTGGCAAAGGAGAAATGCTCACTAACATGGATGTAAACAAATGCACAAAATGTGAGAGAAATAAGCTTTTGTTGCGTATGGAAAATGTCTGTGATCTTTTATTTCAGCTCATGAAACATGGGACCAACACTTTACATTTTGTGTTAAGTATAGTTTTTGACTAAGTGTGCATGCGCCAAATCCACTTCTTAAAGGAGTATTGCCATATTCAACGTCTCCTGTAAGCCCATATCCTGGTTCAGGCTAGGCTGTGTGTGCCAAAAACTCTTGTCCAGTCCACTTTGTAGTCCGATGTTAGTCACAGAGATAATTTAGTCTTGTTTTAGTGAACTGAAATAAAAACGTAGTTATAGTTTTTTCTGGGTCTATTTAGTCAGTGTCGTCAATTGCCACGGAAAAATAGGTGTTTGACGAATATTTAGTCACTATTTTTGTTCACGAAATTAACACTGGAGCAGAGTTATTTTTAGAGCTATAGCCTGCAATAAGACAGAACAACCTAGATCTGTGGTACAGTGTGGTGATGCAGATTTTACCATTACTAAATTACTACTTGCTTGCCTACAAAACCCTATTAATTCATTTGAATCTTATTTGTGAGTAACAAAATAGTCAGACAACCTTTTTACAAAACAAAAGCTTGAAAATACTTTAATACTTCATACAAAGTAAACATTTTTGATTCAAGGACTGACTATGATGTGCAGGTATAATTGGGTTGCTCTACGAATGCACTCTAGAAAAAAAAAAAATCCAGAATGTAATGTCATAGTTACACTATGGCTTTCCTATGGGTAGAATAGAATGTTCCTTGAATCCTAATTCTATAGGTTATAGAGCAGGGTTCTTCAATTCCGGTCCTGGAGGGCCGAAACACTTCTGTTTTTTATTTCTACCTGGTAGTTAATTGCACTCACCTGGTGTCCCAGGTCTGAATTAGCCCCTGATTAGAAGGAGAGGATGAAAAACAGAGGTGTTTCGGCCCTCCAGGACCGGAATTGAAGAACCCTGTTATAGAGTATCCATTGAAGCCACATCAAACTTTAACAATTGCTTTTCCAATGTTTTCTCCCTGCAGCATTCCCATAAAGGCAGCAGGCATGTTCTCAAAGCCTTCAGTGACATGCTCACGACACTGCAGTTTCCCCTGTGGATGAAAACACAACATTATGACATGGTCCTTCAGTAGTCACTACCCAGCTAGCACATTTGGTTCCTTGGAAGTTGTGGGAACGGACGTTTTTGGTTTCCGATTGAATCTGGGAACGAAGCCATACGTTTCCTGATGGTTAAAACGTAACATTTTTTAAAAAATGTTCTGAGAACGGAAGTGAAAATGTAGCCTGTTCTGGGAACATACATTTTTAGTTTGCAGGGAGGTTCTGAGAATGTTTCTCTATGGTTTCCTGAAAGTTTTCCTGGGAAGTTTTATTAACGTTCTGAGAATGAAATCTATAGGTTATTTGAATGTAATTCAATAACATTCTGAGAACATGTTTCAATAACCTAGGTCAAGTCTCCTCTCTCACTCCTCAGCAGCAGGCACACATGCACGCAAAGGAGTGTGAGAATGGTGCTAAAGCGCAAATTCGGGGTGTAGCCTTTCCCGGCTACAATCTAATTGATCTGCTTAAAACAATTTTGGGGGGCCAAAAGGCGGCAATTAGGCCTACCAGCTAATCGAAACCCTGGTGTGTGCGTGTGTAGGCAACCTGCCCCTCCCCCTCGGAATCATAGTCTAGTAGACTACTGACATTACAAGTGTGATTCAGACATTTTTAATTAGAGAAGAATCAATGAGCCTTTTCAATGCTAGTTAAGGATACTATAGTTATCACATTTGACATTGGATTTATTAACTACAAAAAGGTATGACATGTTTTTATTTTCATTCTGGTGCCGCACTGCAAAAAAACAAAGGAACGATATATACAGTCACTTTTTTGGGGTTCGAACTGGTTCAGAACTTTATTTTGCAGGTCAGCACAGTGCAACGGAACAAAAAAATAATGGTTCTGTTCAGAACAAAACTGTTGTAAAATTATTTTGGTTCCAACCCCTGCTTTTAATAACACTGCTAGCTTAGTTTGGGTTAAATGTTTTGAACTCCAAGCATAGATAGGACACATGGACATTCATTTGCTTAGGCATTAATCATGCAACACATTTCTTTTTAACTCATACAAAGCTGTTCATTTGAGTCTATTCAAACATACCCCATTTCAAAGGAAACAAGCACTCATTAAGATAAGGTGTGGACACTTAGTGGGTGTGGCCAACAAACCTGAACACACTTAACAAGATAGAGTTTTGTTGATGCGGAGAATAGAATGTATTTGTTTTTAAATAATTCTCACAACGTTCTTTGAACGTTACTAATGTTTTCTTAATGTTCTGAGAACATTACTTTAAATAGAACCATGAGGAAACCTTTAGGAAACGTTATGCTGAAGTACTGGAATTCCCATAGAAGAACGTTGTTTCTTAACGTTCTCTGAACAATTTGAGAACATTTCTTTAAATAGAACCATGAGGAAACGTTATGGGAAGGTTGCATGCAATATAACCATAGGACAACCACGCTCTAAGAAACATATTGTTCTAAAAACATTTTGTGCTAGCTGGGTATAATCTAAAGTATAGTTAGGTGTATAGTCTCACAGTCACAGACATTTCATATTGTAAATGTGAATACCTCTAGCAGGGTGTACAGTTAACAGACATTCAGAATATGTAAAACATGGTGTCCAAATTAGTTACCCATAGAATTGTCATGATATGATTATGAACATCAGACAGTTTATCTAGCCTGAAATCCCCAACCTGTTTTGTGCTAACATTCTACTCCTTGTACTCCATGTCATTGCCGAACTGTGTGCATGGCATGACAAGGAGCAAGGAGCGGAATGATGGCACAGACTGATACCAAGGCTAGTTTTAATCCCCAAGTACTGTACTTGCCTCTCTCTTCCAAGCCATCAGTCTCCTCAGAGCCTCTGGATTCTTATGCTCCCACCTGCCCACCATGAAGCCCTCCATCTTCAGCTGCTTGAAGATCATGGTCAGGTGGGGGTATGGGCCTGATAGATAGATAAGATTAGATTACATCAGATAGATAGAGAGACAGAAAGTGGAGAGTGATAGAGAGAGGTGTCGTACAGGCATACCTTTTTTATTTTATTTGACCATTTAAAATACATAAAGATGCCACGCCAGGCAACAAATACATCTACCAAAATGGCAGAGGATTATATACACAAAAAGTAAAAAGACTCGTTTCCATTGTGGTTCTCTATAATGGAACATAGAGTTCCAATATGTTTCTTCATTCATTTCTTTGTAATCTCTCATGGCCAGATCTATGTAAACATAACTGGTACCGTAGAATATTTCGTGACTGAGCGGGATGCATACGATAACGAGCAGCAGTAGTTCCAGTGTTTGGGTTTTTCGTTACTGGTTATTTGGACAAATCATGATTTCGCAGGTGCTAGCATCTTTTCAAATATGGGCCATTCAGCCTGCAACTTGCAAAGTGAGAGGGTGAAGCTCATTGTTCCGGTTCTACTCCTCATTGTAGCATTTCTTGATCGTTACTCTTAAAATGTTTGGACCCAGAATTTAATCAAGCAGCTGACCAATTACGCAAGACTAGTTCTGGGTTAACCGAGATTAATTTCTATGCAGCTGCTGACAGGCCAGTCTGAGTGTATTACTGGTGAATGGCACCCTCTAGTGGAATATTGAAATGAGCAACACTGACAACATATCAAGGTAACATACTGTATGAGAGTTAGACAATGTAGAGTTTAATGATTTTGAAGATGAGAGAGAGAGCAGACCTGTCTGTGGATTGGTGTCATTATAGGTTGAGATTCCGCCGCACACAGCTATCCTTCCAAACTCCTTCATCTGAGGAATGGCCACACTGGAGAAAGGACCTCCCACCTTGAAAAGGGGGAAATGTCCATTATATCCAGATAAACATGTTAGGATGAAATACCTATTACCCAATACTGACAGTGTCAGACAATTTATATCCATGTCTAACGATATTAAAACCAGAGAAATACTACTTTAATACTAAATATTAACAGACCATATCTAACAATATTGCCAACTACCAGAGTGAATTACTACACTTTATATAACTACTTTACTACAACCAAATACTTTAACTACTTTATAACCTACGTTCTCAAAGAAGCAGTCGTATCCGTCAGGCGAGGCAGTCTTCAGGGCCTCCTCCAGTGAGCTGACTGTTTTATAGTTGAAGGCCTCATCGAAGCCCAGCTCCTTGAGGAAGGCCACCTTGGCATTGGAAAATAAAAAAAGGTTACAAGAAAATGTAAGTAAGTTTCAATTGCTTGTAACCCGAAACAAGTCAGTGCTAGACCCTTTTTCATTTTCAGGATCAGTAAAGATAGAGACCACTAGAATTTTTGCCTCCCAGTATTTCATCTTAATCCCTTTTTCATTTTTACCTTGCCGTCGGACCCGGAGGAGCCCACCACCCTGCAGCCCTTGATCTTAGCGATCTGGCCCACGATGGAGCCCACGGCCCCGGCTGCAGCGTTCACTAGTAGGGTCTCTCCAGCCTGAAGTCCCAGCACCTCCTCCAGACCGTACAGGGCTGTCAACCTGCAGTCAGAGCACAAGGGAAGATTGAATAGAAAACAACTTCCATCCAAACTGAAAGGTGTATTTTGCAGTCTGTTTTTCCATTCCCAACCTCCTGGAAACCATGCATGCACACACTGGTGACCAGTCTGCAGTCAGAGCAAAAGAGGGGTAGCTCTTTAATAAGAACTCTAACTATAGTCACCTAGCTACAGTAGAGTAGTTTACTTCCGTTAAAACAAACAGTATCAAACTCATTATCAACACAAGCAATCATACACATAACATCTGTGTATCACCACCAACTGTCTTGTCATCCTAAAGCACTGATTACCTTTCAACCCCTCGTCTGAAAACAATCCTCTCCTCAGTCATGTGTAACATTTAATTACTTGTAATCAGTGTTGTAGTACTCGAGTCCACTCTCATGACCACATATTGAGTATCTCGGTCTTGGATACATTTTTACTTGATCTTGTCTCAGACGTGACGACTCATCATTTCTTCCCGAGACAAAAACACAGAATTATCAGCTTCCATTCTGTCAGCGCATAAAACCGCGTCGCCAGGCCAAATGTATACACTCCATGTATGACACATTAATATCTTGTCACCTATTGAAACTTGTGCTTCCTACTTTACTCGTAGCATTACTGTCCTTTACTTTCGTAGAAAAATATCCTCAAACTTGGTCGCGCTCATCAGAATTTCCTTGATTCCCTGGTAGGGAAGTGGGGGGGAAATTGTTTGAAAGTTCTGCGCTCACTATTAGTAAGGGGAGACATTTTGAACTCTTATAATGGTGGCAATTTGACAAAATTACAATCATGGTCTTGAATTGATCGCATTTTTCTGGTCTCTGTATTGACTTGGTCTCGCCCCCCCTCCAGTCTTGGTCTTAACTCTGACTCAATTTGCTTCGGTCTTGAATCGGCCTCGCTTTAGGTGGTCTCCAACCCAACACTGCTTGTAATAACATTTACATTAAAAATATTTGTGATTATCGAATAAAAAGAGTTGTGACTCAGTAAAACTGTTTAAAGAGTTCTGTGGAAAAGCAGAACAGGACCATAAGTGGTGACAGTGACCTGCTCGCTAAGACAACTGGGGCCCAAATTTGTATTTTATCAACCTAGAAGGGAAAACATACAGCTGCTTTTCCTGGCAGACTTGAGGTCCCAAAACAATTCTGCCGTTATTCTGTGAGCTAAAACTATAAAACAGTTGTGCTGTCAGTTCTCCAACACCAGCTCCAACTATTAACTGTTAGCATATTACGGTTATGTTAGCATTTTAGAATCCCTCTTTACCCAGGCATGCCATTGGCCCCAAGAGCATGACATGCATCTTTCTTCTGGCATGAAAATATAAATTTTCTACCCTTTGTGGCTAGTGATTCAGCCCATAGTGACCCCCATATTTTACCCAGAAGCCACTGGCACTCAAGAAGCCCCTCCTCCTTACCCAGGCATGCCGATGGCCCCCAGAGCCAGGGACATGGAGACATCCTGAGGCCAGTCAGACAGAAGGCGTGTCAGACCTGTATCATCAGACACAGTGTGAGTCCTCCAGCCGCATCTACCAACCACATGGCAACCCACAGGGAAGGCTGGGTTGTTGCTCTGGATCACCCTAGAAAAAAAACACACACACACACAAACAAACTGAATAATGAGGGTTGTTTCTTATAAGTGCCTGTGGTTGTTTGCTCATAGGTACAGTCAACTTGCCTAGAAAAAAAACACATTGTAATTTTTATGATTATTGGAATGAGTGGAAATATATTTGGTCACTACTCACCCAAGACACACAAACTGAATTCACTGAGGGTTGTTTCTTATTGTTTTGGGGCTGTCGCTGGGCAACACAGACTTTCAACTCCCTCCAAAGATTTTCTATGGGGTTGAGATCTGGAGACTGGCTAGGCCACTCCAGGACCTTGAAATGCTTCTTACGAAGCCACTCCTTCGTTGCCCGGGCGGTGTGTTTGGGATCATTGTCATGCTGAAAGACCCAGCCACGTTTCATCTTCAATGCCCTTGCTGATGGAAGGAGGGTTTCACTCAAAATCTCACGATACATGGCCCCATTCATTATTTCCTTTACACGGATCAGTCGTCCTGGTCCCTTTGCAGAAAAACAGCCCCAAAGCATGATGATTCCAACACCATGCTTCACAGTAGGTATGGTGTTCTTTGGATGCAACTCAGCATTCTTTGTCCTCCAAACATGACGAGTTGAGTTTTTACCAAAAAGTTATATTTTGGTTTCATCTGACCATATGACATTCTCCCAATCCTCTTCTGGATCATCCAAATGCACTTCAGACGGGCCTGGACATGTACTGGCTTAAGCAGGGGGACACGTCTCACACTGCAGGATTTGAGTCCCTGGCGGCGTAGTGTGTTACTGATGGTTGGCTTTGTTACTTTGGTCCCAGCTCTCTGCAGGTCATTCACTAGGTCCCCCCGTGTGGTTCTGGGATTTTTGCTCACCGTTCTTGTGATCATTTTGACCCCACGGGGTGAGATCTTGCGTGGAGCCCCAGATCGAGGGAGATTATCAGTGGTCTTGTATGTCTTCCATTTCCTAATAATTGCTCCCACAGTTGATTTCTTCAAACCAAGCTGCTTACCTATTGCAGATTCAGTCTTCCCAGCCTGGTGCAGGTCTACAATTTTGTTTTTGGTGTCCTTTGACAGCTCTTTGGTCTTGGCCATTGTGAAGTTTGGAGTGTGACTGTTTGAGGTTGTGGACAGGTGTCTTTTATACTGATAACAAGTTCAAACAGGTGCCATTAATACAGGTAACGAGTGGAGGACAGAGGAGCCTCTTAAAGAAGAAGTTACAGGTCTGTGAGAGCCAGAAATCTTGCTTGTTTGTAGGTGACCAAATACTTATTTTCCACCATAATTTGCAAATAAATTCATAAAAAATCCTACAATGGGATTTTCTGGATTTTTTTTTCTCAATTTGTCTGTCATAGTTGACGTGTACCTATGATGAAAATTACAGGCCTCTCTCATCTTTTTAAGTGGGAGAACTTGCACAATTGGTGGCTGACTAAATACTTTTTTCCCCCACTGTAATTAAAGTGTGTCTACAACAAGCCTGTGTCAGAAGACACAGATCGTAAAGTATGCTTAATGGATAATCTTCCATTGGAAGTGATTTTTAGTTACAGAGAAGGTTTAGTCTGGGTCTATATGAACACCCTTAGTGGTTGCTAAATGGTTTTATCTGGAGGCTAGATCGGAGACATGCTGTACTCCTTTATAAAGACACTTTAATAATCATACTCAGGCAATTTAATTCAGTGAAATCATTTTTAAAAGCCTTAGGGGAATAACTGAGGCAGGGAAGAGTCATTGGGTTCTGTATATTTACCCAGACTGACTCACAGTGAAAACACATTGAACCACTCACTAGTGCCAGGAACGGAACCTCGGCACACACTGCCAAGTACATTCAATTTGTTCTCTTACTTTTTATTTTATTTCATTTCACCTTTATTTAACCAGGTAAGCCAGTTGAGAACAAGTTCTCATTTACAACTGCGACCTGGCCAAGATAAAGCAAAGCAGTGCGATAAAAACAACACAGAGTTACATATGGAATAAACAAAAACGTACAGTCAATAACACAATAGAAAATATATATACAGTGTGTGCAAATGTAGTAAGTTATGGAGGTAAGGCAATAAATAGGCCATAGTGCAAAATAATTACAATTTAGTATTAACACTGGAGAGATAGATGTGCAAATAGAGATACTGGGATGCAAATGAGCAAAATAAATAACAATGTAAATAACAATATGGGGATGAGGTAGTTGGGTGGGCTAATTACAGATGGGCTGTGTACAGGTACAGTGATCGGTAAGGTGCTCTGACAACTGATGCTTAAAGTTAATGAGGGAGATAAGTGTCTCCAGCTTCAGAGATTTTTGTAGTTCGTTCCAGTCATTTGCAGCAGAGAACTGGAAGGAATGGCGGCCAAAGGAGGTGTTGGCTTTGGGGATGACCAGTGAGATATACCTGCTGGAGCGCATACTACGGGTGGGTGTTGCTTTGGTGACCAATGAGCTAAGATAAGGCGGGGATTTGCCTAGAAGTGATTTATAGATGACCTGGAGCCAGTGGGTTTGGCGACGAATATGTAGTGAGGGCCAGCCAACGAGAGCGTACAGGTCACAACGGTGGGTAGTATATGGGGCTTTGGTGACAAAACGGATGGTACTCTGATAGACTACATCCAATTTGCTGAGTTGAGTGTTGGAAGCTATTTTGTAAATGACGTCGCTGAAGTCAAGGATCGGTAGGATAGTCAGTTTTACGAGGGCATGTTTAGCAGCATGAGTGAAGGAGGCTTTGTTGCGAAACAGGAAGCCGATTCTAGATTTAACTTTGGATTGGAGATGTGAGTCTGGAAGGAGAGTTTACAGTCTAACCAGATACCTAGGTATTTGTAGTTGTCCACATATTCTAAGTCAGACCCGCCGAGAGTAGTGATTCTAGTCGGGCGGGCGGGTGCAAGCAGCGTTCGATTGAAGAGCATGCATTTAGTTTTACTAGCGTTTAAGAGCAGTTGGAGGCCACAGAAGGAGTGTTGTATGGCATTGAAGCTCGTTTGGAGGTTTGTTAACACAGTGTCTAATGAAGGGCCAGATGTATATAAAATGGTGTCGTCTACGTAGAGGTGGATCTGAGAGTCACCAGCAGCAAGAGCGACATCATTGATATACACAGAGAATAGAGTCGGCCCGAGAACTGAACCCTGTGGCACCCTCATAGAGACTGCCAGAGTTCCAGACAACAGGCCCTCCGATTTGACACATTGAACTCTATTTGAAAAGTAGTTGGTGAACCAGGCGAGGCAGTCAGTTGAGAAACCAAGTCTATTTAGTCTGCCAATAAGAATGGGGTGATTGACAGAGTCAAAAGCCTTGGCCAGGTCGATGAAGACTGCTGCACAGTACTGTCTTTTATCAATCGCGGTTATTATATCGTTTAGGACCTTGAGCGTGGCTGAGGTGCACCCATGACCAGCTCGGAAACCAGATTGCATAGCGGAGAAGGTACGGTGGGATTCGAAGTGGTCGGTGATCTGTTTGCTAACTTGGCCTTCAAATACTTTCGAAAGGCAGGGCAGGATGGATATAGGTCTGTAACAGTTTGGATCTAGAGTGTCACCCCCTTTGAAGAGAGGGATGACCGTGGCAGCTTTCCAATCTCTGGGGATCTCAGACGATACGAAAGAGAGGTTGAACAGGCTAGTAATAGGGGTTTGCGACAATTTCTGCGGCTAATTTTAGAAAGAAAGGGTCCAGATTGTCTAGCCCAGCTGATTTGTAGGGGTCCAGATTTTGCAGCTCTTTCAGGACATCAGCTATCTGAATTTGGGTGAAGGAGAAGCGGGGGGGGTCATGGGCAAGTTGCAGCGGAGGGTGCAGAGCTGGTGGCCGGGGTAGGGGTAGCCAGGTGGAAAGCATGGCCAGCCGTAGCAAAATGCTTGTTGAAATGCTAGATTATCGTAGATTTATCGGTGGTGACAGTGTTTCCTAGCCTCAGTGCAGTGGGTAGCTGGGAGGAGGTGCTTTTATTCTCCATGGACTTTACAGTGTCCCAAAACTTTTTGGAGTTAGTGCTTCAGGATGCACATTTCTGTTTGAAAAAGCTAGCCTTTGCTTTCCTAACTGATTGTGTATTTTGGTTCCTGACTTCCCTGAAATGTTGCATATCGTGGGGGCTGTTACAACTGAAGTCATGAAGGATAATCTATGGCCTCAGAAATGAATCATAGGTGCAGGACTCATTCTCTTCCAGTAAACAGCAGGCATGCATGTCACCTCATGGTAGATAGATGAGAGGCAGATAACTTGGGCTGCGTCCCAAATGGCACCCCATTCCCTGCATAGTGCACGTCTTTTGACCAGGGGCCTAAAAGCAGTGCACTATATAGGGAATAGGGTGCCATTTGGGATCGCAGCCTTGTTTATTTTCCTTACTTGGCCACTTGAGTTCCGATCATCACTTCCCCCTCCTTCATACGCACTCGGCTGAACGGTCTGGAAACCAACCAGAGATGTCAGGAGAACAATCAGATGAGATCTTTTTCTGTACTATCTACTGAAGGATGTGGATTAGTAATGTTATGGAAAAGTCAATACTGTTCAGAGAACTTTCAATGTTCTAATATGAAGAGTAACATCATATTCCTTATAGATATCACATTACATGAGTCATGACAAAATGCTTCAGGTGGCAAATGTTAGGGGAATCCCTCCCTGTCCCTTTTCTCCTACCTCATGTATGGATCCACACTGAGAAACATTGCCTCCAAAAGCACCTCTAAAAACAGAAGAAAAAAAACATTCAAACGTATGACATCACTCGGCTTTAGTCAGGTACAGGAATCTTGTATTTAGTACAAGTACAGATCCAGATAACCTCAGTAATAGTGCAGATGAGATCTTCACAGTCCTTACCTCCATCTTTAGGCTCTGGCAGCTGCTCCAGCTTCAGCTCAAAGTTGCTGTCCTTCGGGAAGCCTTCAAAGTGACGTGTCAGGACCCATGTCTTGGCTTGAACCATGGCTCTTTTCTTTGGACAACTGTGAAATAATAGGCTGTTTACTTAGTTAGTTACATGCTATACCAAAATCTGAAGTGACCTCAGAGCTCATCTAGGGAACCTTTTCTTATTTTCTATATGTACTAGGAATTTCCAGGTGAACAAAAGAGAAGTCAGTCAATAAAAAATAAATCTGGTTTATTACAAGTTGCACAGAAGCAGAGAAAATGTATAATAAGCCTCTTGGAGTCAGGCCCTTTATATCCTAATCAGACAGCACCAAATGTTCTGTAAACACCAGCCCGAGAGGCTTGTAGGAAGACAAAACATAAAGGCAGTGACTGTCAGCTGCAACAGAATAATAATAATTATTATTATTATAATTATAATAATATGCCGTTTAGCAGACGCTTTTATCCATAGCGACTTACAGTCATGTGCGCATACATTTTTACGTATGGGTGGTCCCGGGGATCGAACCCACTACCCTGGCGTTACAAGCGCCATGCTCTACCAATTGAGCTACAGAGGACCACTGTGATACAACAGTGAATAATCAGTGTGTCCTCGGTCCTTGTACTTGGACCTCAGGTCTGGCGTCAATCACAACATTCAGTATCAAGTCTAGTGACCATCAACCCGCACCTTGAGTTTCACAAACAGAACACTGGAAATAATGTGTATTTGAGAGTGGGAAAATATATAAATATGCTAAAGATTGTTAATCACTCTAAACTGAATATGAACTTCAGTTACATTTCCGCATTATATCAACCTTTTCTACTTAAGTATCCTACATTTAGCAACATATTTACTGTCAAATCATGTATATACAAATATCAGATTTTGAGATCTAAAATAGTCAAAGAGAAGAAATGCAATAGAGACAGGTGAAATACCCACATGCTTCTATCATAACAGGATGATGAGAAACTAGAATACTTCAACCCAGGTTGTTATTCAAAGATTGTTAATCAGCTGGACCACACAACAACACACACACACACTCACAAAATGGGGGCTGTGCAGGAAAGAGTGCACTGGTACCAGAATATGCTGGACAACTGTGAAAGAATATGCTGTGTACTTAGTGTTTAGTATATGCATTGATTTAGAGTACTGAACCAAACTGACTGTAGTGCAGGCTCTATCTAGAATAGCAAAATTCACATGGATTGAAGAGTTTGTATTGTCGATCGGATCTATTATTTGCAATACACAGCACTAGCTTAGCTTGCTAGATAACGGACTTGCAGAACCTAGCAGAGTGCTGTGCGTTGTTGTAAAGTGAATGCCATGCAAGCCCGCTTCAAAGTGGGCTGTCGACCACCACCACAACCGGTGATTAAAATATCTAAGCATTTCTCGACCATGAACGTGGTTTAATATCATGCAGTACTCAACAAAACTCAACTAGAATAAATTATCAACAAATGCACACATACCGGTCACTGTCCTGCAATCAGAATGAAAGAAATATCAAAATTTCGGAGAAACGACGAACAGAGCGTGGGCAGGCAGTATTCGACTACTTTCTCATTGGCTAAAAAGGTTGTTAGCCGATCCCCGTCCGCGTGACGTATATACGCAATGTTGCGAGCGTGCGTTCATTTTGGCTGAGAATGGGCGCGCATTTATATAGCCGAACTGTTACCGCTTTCCTTCTACCAGAGAAACTGTCGAAAAACAAGTCTGGAACTGATTTCTTCTTCGAAATTACTTGGTAAGGTATAATAATAATTAAAACTGAAAGTACAGATGGACAGATTGCTTCAGAATTGATGGTGGTTTTCGAAAATTTATTCACTTCACGAACATCAGGCGTTCGTTATAGCATGAATGATGCTGTTGCTAGCGGTTACGCTAGTTAGCTAACTTGCTTAACTATGCTTGATGCAACTTTTATTATATCGTTAGCTAGCTAGCCTGTAAAGTTGATTACACTGACAGTTTCAGTGTCACCCGAGTTATATAGTTGCTAAACAAAACAAACGTTTGGTTAAGTATTTCTACAATGATCAGCTCTATAATGCCATTGAATGAGTAAAGTAGCTAGCTAGTCCTTGTTGTGATTTCTTTCAATTTCCGCGCCTCCTAATACACGTGAGCTAGCTAATTACCCATCTAATAAACAGTAGAGATTTTTGACTGACAGACAGGCGATCAACAGGGCAGAGAAACTCTGACCCTGACAACTTGTTTGTCCTTATAGATTTCACATTATAAATGGCTAGTTAAGACAGGGTAGGATGACTCTCATTTCAGGGACTGTCTTCTCCACCGGAAATGGTCTTGCCTTGATCAGTGTTTCCCCTAGGATTTATTTCTGCAGTGGGGGCGCTGGGCTGCGCCGCGCCGTTGCTAACTGAATATAGGGGAGCACTGCCTGATTGTACCATTTCTATTAGGGGTGTAACGGTTCACCATGGTTCAGTACTTATTGCAGATTTAGTTTCTGAACAGCGGAAAATGCCAACAGTTACTGTAGTTAATTTGTTTAAGAAAATACAAAGTCTTGGTATTCCTAATTCCATATATGATCACGAGTCATATAATGCCTGATGAGCGCACAATCAGGAATAACAACACTTTGTATTTTCTTAAATGAAAACACAGGATTACTCATCAACAACAACACTAAAATAAAGAGCAATGTGCGTGTGAAATCAATATGTAAACATGGCTCAGACAATGTATAAGCTTATGCTATAATGTTATCTTACAAAGAGCAAAAATATGCTCACTTGTGTCACTCTCATAAAGGGGGCGTGTCTTTAGCACAGTAGGCCTACTTTGAGTTTCCACTGTGGTGTAATGTGATGGGCTGTCACTTAAGTAGCTCTCTAGCCCTGGAGGTCCATCCATCTGTAGTAAGAGGGAGGGGAAAAGCGATACCCAGTCAGTTGCAAAACTGAATGCATTAAACTAAAATGTGTACTTCCGCATTTAACCCAACCCCTCTCAATTAGAGATGTGCGGGGGGGCTGCCTTAATCAACGTCATCAGAGCCCGGGGAGCAGTTGTTGTTGCAGGTTAACTGCCTTGCTCAAGGGCAGAACGTAAGCGCAACACAGGGTGCATTGGCCAATTCATTGACAACTTCGGCTTTAGCTTGCATATATAGAGCGGGTACTTCCTGTTTGCTGAAATAGGTGCGAGGGGGCAAAGTTCGTAATGAATGGAGCACTTTCGCAAGGTGCTGAAACCACCTATTCTTCTCAACCACCGAGAATGGGCGAATATCCGTGGCTATAAGCAAACCTATCGCTCATGTCATTTATTTGGCCCAGTCAGAATCAGCTGCGAAGGGCAGCTTGAATGCAGGGGGGAGACAGCAAATGTTTTTGGGTCCGTTTCCGTCTTGCTCAGGTGGTAGGAATACTGGGGTAATGTCATAAAAAATGTGTCAACATGTTTGAGGTGTTGGCAGTTGCATAGGCTGTTCTCGTTGAGCAGTGGCCGTTGTAATCTACTGGGAAACCAAAACGTTCCCAAACTGGAGATTTAAACGATGATGGCGAATCCTCCTGGTTTATCGACCCCACCACTCGTCATCGTTCAGAACTAGTTCCCTGATGTGCTTCACAAAAATACATTTTAATTAGAATTTTGATTACAATGTGTGCATAGGCTCTAGTTGTTTTAATGAAATAGCCTGAAAGGTTTTTGTTCAGCTCAGATTTACTCAAGAGGCATACAAAGCAGTGGAAGGCATAGCCTAGTGTTTCATTATTTATTTATTTTTCTATGTATTCATTCAGGTTCACAGTGTGGACCGAACAGAGGTCCACATACCGAACGGTACGAATACGTGTACCGGTACACCCCTAATTTCTATTGAGTGATTATGATTTTACAGTTTAAATATCGTTGATAATCTTTCTGTCAATTCTCCTCATCTGTATAACTCCCACCCTTGACCCTACTGCCTCTATCACAGTGTGGTAGCCAGTAGAGTGCTGTCATCATCATGTTAGACGGTGGTCAGTTCGTGGAGGCGTTGGGTCGTCTAGGTTACCCAGGCACCCCATCTCTGAAGGGCTCTGAGTTTGACTGGCTCTTCGACTGCGCTCCGCAAAACCTCCAACTCCTGCGCTTCGTCTGCCGCACCCTGAACCAGGGAAACGTGCTCACCCCGGAGGAGGCCCAGGCCTTCAAGGCCCTCCGTAACTCTGGCAAGCCCATCCTCGATGGGACCGCGCTGGACGAGGTCCTCAAGACCTGTGGGCCTACTGCTGGAGGAGGTGTGGTCGGTCCTTCCTCAGCGGAGGGGGAGGTGAGCGTGGAGGACCTAGAGGCGGAGCTATCTGCTCTGAAAAAGGAGAAGCAGCTGAAACAGCGCAGGTACAAGAAGCTGCAGGTGCTCGCCACCGCCCGGGCCGACGCTGCGCTCCGATTGGCCTCCCAGCAGGATGCCGCCGGCGGCAAGCTGAAGGACATCAACGCAGCGCTGGGGGCGGAGAACGCCGGAACCAACGCTGCGCTACAGAACCTCACGAACGAGGTGAAAAAGCTTGGATCATACCTCAAAATAGACCTAGAGTCCAAGGAAAGAAAGTTCCCAGGGAGAGGCTGCTGCCTCTAGTTCTGTGACCACCACCACCCCTCTAGGGCCCCCTGTCCTGCTCTCCCAGCTGTCCCTGGAGCCCTACCTCCACCAGGAGGAGCTTAACACCAAGGCCCTGGCCGCCCTCACCCAGCGCCAGTTCTTCCAGGGCATCAGCAACATGGTGGAGACCTCCTGCTCCGAACGCTTCCAGCTCCTGGACCTCAGCCTCTGCGGAGATGGGGACGAGATAAAGGAGAAGGATGAAAAAGAGGTGGAGGAGAGAGTGGTAGAGCAGAGAAGGAAGGAGATGGCCAGGCTCCAGTGGGGTCATATGGTGGCCCAGCACCAGCTGGTCAAGGCCAGAGCAGAAGAGCAGGGAGCCAGGGTTGGGCTGGAGTGGATCACGAAGAACCTGCAGTCATTCACCAAGGTAAGGCACTGGAGAGGGTTAGGGACTAGAGTAGTGCATCTTTAGTGCTGTTGCCTCTGGGGGTTTGTTCGTACGTGTTGCATGCTCTGTAGTCCGTACACATATTCACACCAGCCTTACAAACAACATAATCATACCTGCTTTTCATCACTTGCTAGTCTCTAATGCAACCTTTATCCCTCTCTTTCTCTCCCTCCTCTCTCCTCTCCCAGGGCACCACCAATTCCTCCTCTGCTCTCCAGGCGCGTGAGGCCTTGTCTAGGCGTGAGCTGCAGGGCGTGGAGGCTGATCTGGAGTCTCTCCTCCAGGGGCCTGTACCAGCGGCTCTGAGGGAGAGTGCCAGGCTGCTCAACATGCCCGTGGTGAGGGGAGACCTGGACCTGCAGCTGGCCAGACAGGAGTACTACACCTCCAGACAGGAGCAGGTACAGTTAGTTAGTTTTGTACAAATGCTGTTTTTGATCTTGTTGTTAGAATATCTATGTTCATATCTGCATGGGTTTTCCCATAATTTACAGAGTTTTGAACACCAGGTGAGAAACTGTCTTCACCCAATCAATCAGTATCATCTTGTATGTATTTTGTGTATCTATTCTTGTCCTCCTTAGAGGATGATAACGTTCTGTCTCTCTATCCATCCATTCATTCATCTTTCCATCTAGGTCCGAGACCACCTCCTGCGGCAAAAGGCCTCATTCGAGCTGCTCCTCCTGGCCCAGGAGATGGAGCTGAGGATGGGTAGGCAGGTGCTGAAGCTGCTTGGGGAGGTGGCAGGTCGGCTGGGGGAGGGAGGAGAGGAGACAGCCCTCAGGATCCAGGCCCTAGCGCAACCTGAGCTGTCCCATAACCCCAGACCCAGTCCTCAGTCCATCATCAGCTCCAAGGATGCATCCTTCACCAGGTAGGGATCAGAGGAGGACAGGAACCAGGGTCGTGCTCAGTCAGGCATACGGAAGCAAAACATTTTTCAATGGAAAACCAAAAGGTGTTCTTATTGGACAGGTTTAGGTTGCACTGAAGGCGACCCAGATGTATTTGCTTCTCTCACACTAAAGGTAATATGACAGTGCATTGATGTACTGTACAGTAGTGATGGGGGAGAAAAATCGATAGTTACATATCGCAATATTAGTTTTTGGACAATATTATATCGTTATTTGACTCCAAGTGTCGATTTGTAAATAAATAAATATAGCTAGCACTAGTCGGCTGTACCTGCACCCAAACCTTTTCCCCCATTCTATATCTTCTTTAACTAGTGAGCCAAAATGTTTTCAGCACTTTTATTTCCCTGACTAGCTTCCATCCAATTGGCGACAGATTTTCATGCAAATACTCTAAAATCCGCATGAATAAAATATGCACATTTTCCCACCAAAGATGTTTCCATCAAATTGACTTGTTGCAGATAAAAGTCTGTGTGTGATGACATAATGCACATAAAAATCACTTTTGTGGTTCAATTCCCATATACCGAGGAACAAATACCAGATTACAACAACATTTTCAACTCTACTGATGGTTTTGTCACAAAACAGATGTGTGGTATTGGCACGTGCGCTCTAGCCAACAGCTCGCCGATACAGTGCGGGTAAAGCCTACTACATGGTGAGATTATGGACAAAAGAGCGAGATCACCAAAATAAGACCCTCAATATTTATTGGAAAGAAGCATCACTCATCTCCTTGCACTTTCACCACCCTGTGAAGTTCATCATCATTTATTTAATCTGTAGCCTTGTAAACTGCATGCTTTTCCAAGTTGTAGTGGGAGGACCACTCACCATATCATCGCGTGACTCCAAGTTTACGTTGATATGATGGTTATTATGTCATTATTTGCGCATAAAAGCGGTTCCATTGCCATTTCTCGCATAATTCATTTTCATAGACATTTGTAGAATTTACTGAGAAATTTGCTGTTTCCATCAGGCCGGTCGTGACATTTTTTATGACTCATAAAAAGGTTGAACGTAAACTCGTTTTCTCATGCTCTCTTTTCTCTCTGCAGCAAACAGTGAGCAATATGTTTGAAACATCAAATCGCAATACATATCGTATCGGGACCTAAGTGTCGTGATAATATCGTATTGTCAGGTCCCTGGCAGTTCCCAGCCCTAATATACAGTATGTGACACACCTCTCGCTCCCCCAGGCTTCTTCAGATCCTGGAGTCAGGCCACGCCTCAGAGCGTGGTGGCCGCGAGGAGCCCTTCCGTACCTACGAGGGGTTGGAAAGTGCCGCCCGCGACCACCAGGGGGAGCTCCAATCCTGCCGCGAAGCCCTGGCTGGGGCCGCCCGCCAACAGCATTACATGGGTGCCCGTCTCCACAGCGACTGCGAGGCGTTGCGCCGGGCAACCTTCTCGGGGTTGCAGCAGCTGTTCTTGGCGCCGCAGGTATGTCCTACGGCGACGTCACATGACCAGGAGCTCTGCCCCAACGCACAGGTACGTTTCTGAACACACACACACTTCCTCATCGACGTTATTGTCGTCTTCGTCTCAAAGTAGCGTGAGTTAGCAGAGTTTTATTATAAAACACGTTTGGGAGATTAAGTGGTAGCACAGTACCTATGGGTTTTATACGTAATTTGTACTGCTGCCTGAGTAATTGCCCATTGTTTGATAAATACAGTATTTTGAAATGAATCGAATTATGTTAGTTGTGGGATTCACTGGTGATGCTTCACTTTTAGAGCACTGCATTGGTATATGGGTTTTGTATAGTTGTGTTGACTGCACTGGACAATGAGGCACTTCTGTAATGTAGAATATGTAAAAAGCACAAGGTGTCAAGTTTTTTTTCTTCCAGGTCAACAGGGATCCTTCTCACTCCCTCGGTCCTCTCCTCCTCTTCTTCCTCTCTGTAACAAATGTAGCAAATTCATGCTTGCTCCATACAGGGGTTCATCGCAGTTACTTCCTGCAGTAAAGAGACACACTTTAGTTTCTCTGTAGTTTTTAAATGTCTTATAGTCAATAAAGCTGTGCATAACCATCTGTGTGACGTGGAGGAAAAGTAGAGTACTGTTGTATGTCAGTCAATATTCTAGAAAGGCTTATAACCATTTGTGGTATGCAGATGTTAGAAAATACTGAGTACTGTTCTTGCAGTCCAGGATAGACTTTTAAATTAGTGTCACCGCTATTCATTACGTTATCAGCACAAGCTAGCAGTGATCTGACCGTGTCTCTCTGGATGTCTACTAAAAGCCTCTTTCCCTCCACCCTTCTCTTCCTCCCCTGTCTTTCCCTTCCATCGTACCCTCTCCTCCTCCTCCTCTCTCCAGGAGTTGACAGTGAAGCTGGGAGACCTGGAGGTCCAGCAGAACTGTCTGTACAGGCTGATGCAGGATGTGATGGAGGAGGTCCGGGGTAAACGCTCCCAGCTGGACCACAGCCCCCTCCTCAGGCGAGAGCGGGAACTGTACGTCTACTTCCACCTGGACCCCAGGCTGCTGTACAAAGTGGTGGAGGAGCTGGAGAGCAGAGCGGCCGCTGCCAAGAAGGGCCAGTTGTAATTGGGCTCTTTTACCGCCGCCTACGTCACCTCTTTTCCCCTCTCCTCGACCCGTTTCTCTGGGTGTGAGTGCTAAACACAGCTCATACAGAACAGTGGAGGATCCAGCAGAAAGTAGTGGATGTGCTTTAAGGTGAAGTGGCCACTGAGAAAGGTTGCCGCTCTGCCTAATGACACCTGGCTTACCCATCTCCTCTCCCCTCTCGCCACCCCATGTGCCAGTTGAATGCCAAGCACCCTCAACCTTGGATTTGGAATTACACAATATGGAGAGAGGGTTCCGACAAATGACAATTGGATGAGGATGACTTGGATCTCATCTCCGTTTTTTTGTGGCCACTGTTTCAATTCAGATGTAATGTCGCTTGTTTTACTGCTACTGTTGCTGTTCCTGTAACCGCCTTTGTGTATTTGTTTGTTTCATAAAAAGAAATTATAATAAATATGAATGTCGTCACAACTAATAGAAACATATTTTGTGCGTGTGAGTATTCAGTTTTATGTACAGTTTTTTTTCTCATTTGTTTGTATGGCGCAATTTATTTGAAGACAATTGGGCTCTATCAGCCAGCTTGATATGATCAGTGACAGTACAGAGAAAGCATAATCATAACACTGATATTCTTCCTGTGCGTTGTGTAGGCAGCTAACAGACAGACAGGGCTGCAGATAGGGAGAGGAGATGGAGGGGTACAGTTGCAGCAGTAACAGGCTGTACTCAGGGCCTCTGTCTGCGTCTGGACAGAAGATCCTAGCAGCTCTCCGAGCCCAGAGCCACAACCACTACTCTGATACAGCGAGGGCCCAAAGCTACAGACAACGTGAGTCAGCAAGGACTGAATAGTGCAGTGCGATATTTAGAAGGATGCAGACAGAAATGTAATCTACATATTCTATAGACCTGACACCACTCTTTATTCTAAACAATATCGTAAGCAGTGATGTAGATGATAAATGCTGATCGCCGTTCATGAGTAAAGGAACGCTCAATTTACTTTCAATGCATTTTTCCCGCAAATGGTGGGTAAACGGCATTTACGTATGTTACCCTCCACTACACTGATCGTAATGGTTCTAAAGTACTATGTGTTGACAAAGGCACAAATTCACAGATCTGTGTGTATATCTGGTGGTGTTGGGAAAGACAGACACATTTCAGTTCTAACCAATGGACAAAGTATCCTATTCTCTATTCTATTGTGCTTACTTTAAAAAAAGCCTATCTATTCAAATGTTAGATGAGAGGTATGACGGCAGACAGAGAGGGTCACCAGTCAGAGGCCAGCTGGAGCAGAGGAACACAGGAGGAGAGGAGAGGGAGAGAGACAGACCGGTGAGGAGATGACACCGTAGTAGGGGAATAGAAATAGTAATTGGGTTGGCCGTACAGGCAGTGTTAAACGAGTTGTCATTAGCATCCAAACATGGTACAGAATGAAGTGGCATAGAATGGGTTATTTGGTTAGGGAAAGGCGGATAAAAGAGGTGTCATTAGCAACCTGAAATGCAGTAAGATGGTACCCTCTTCAGGGAGAATAAACAGATGGGTCGAGTCCTTACTATATGAATGTGGTGCATGTGGTGAAATTCAATTAACTATTGTTCCGTTGAGGAAACATCTGGTGTGGTATTTCTTGTGCATGCAACAGGCACAGAACATATAGGCCGGTTTCCCAGACACAGATTACGCCTATAGTCCTAGACCAGGGGTGAGTAACTGGCGGGGCCCCTCTTTTGAAGGTCCTTGGAGTTCAGTCGGGGTCTCAACTTAATGTTGCGATTTTGGTTGTGCATCAGCAGTTTTTCTCTTACGTCAGTCACTGATAGTCACTCAATTAGTCCATGTCAGCTAAACATTTTTAGATCGCTAAATTAGTTTAGCAGCCAGCTATCTAAACTTGTTATCATGGTCGAATTACCGGCCGGGGGGGGCCCCCATTGATTTTGTTAGTCTCACTCAGATGTCATATTAAAAACTAAACATTCTCTCCACCCTATGGCAAAATGTGTAGAATTGCAGGAAATTAGCTGTAAAACAGCTTATTTCCCTCTGCCCCATGGCAAAATGTGTGGAATTGCACAAACTTGCTTTAAAACCGGTGTTGTTTTCGAGACCACCTAAAGCGAGACGATTCAAGACCAAGACCAGAGCAAATCGAGCCTGAGTCAAGACCAGAGGGCGGGGCGAGACCGGGAGGGGGACGAGGAGTCCGAGACCGAGTCAGGACCGAGACCATAAAAATGCGAGTTTAAGATGACGATTGTGATTTTGTCAAATCGCCACTATAATAAGAGTTCAAAATGTCCAGTATTTCTGTGTTCATATTTCAGAAGAACATATGGATTCTCTAGACATTCAGAATAGTGAAAAAATGCATGCTGAGGGCAAATAAAGCCACTCTACAAATGATTACTAACCCAAACACAGTGGGGAACAATGAGGGCCTTTATAAAATAATAATAATAATTATTACTTTCAATGATATTCTGATTTAATCTTTTCAGTTTTTGTTGGAAAGGAAAGGGTTAACACTGAAGAGAAAACAAGGTCCAAATAGGGAGATACATCTATTTGTCACATGCACCGAATACAACAGGTGTAGACCTTACAGTGAAATGCTTACTTACAAGCCCTTAACCAACAATGCAGTTTAAAAAAAATAATACCTAAAAAAAAAAAGAGAAATAAAAGCAACAAATAATTAAAGAGCAGCAGTAAAATAACAATAGCGAGGCTGTATACAGGGTGTACCGGTTCCCGAGTCAAAGTGCGGGGGCACCGGTTAGTTGAGGTAATTGAGGTAATATGTACATGTAGGTAGAGTTATTAAATAGATAAAGCTAGCTAACTAAGTCAGGCGTTGGCTAGGCCATAAGAAGCTAGATAGAAGGCTTTGCCATTCAACTGTATTAGGGCAACATTTTGGAGAGACAGTGGAATCAACCAATCACTTTCTGACTTGGGTGGGACCGTTTTTACAAAAATGTATGGAAAACAACAGGTCACTGCAATAGCAAGCAGTAGTTTTCCCAAGGTCTAGCTAGCTAGCTTTTATTGTAGGTTAGTTTGCAGGGGCTGCAGCAGGTGTTATCGAAGAGGATGTTTTTGCTAATTTGTTAGCTTCTCCCTTTTCAAGAATAACTTTCAACAAGAAGCTAAGTTTCAAATTATCTTCATCTGGTGAGTGGAACTGTGGTGTTAATTGCAGCTCGCTTGCTGTTGTTAGCCATTTTTTGGAAAATACCTGTGTGTGAAACATTGTTGCATTTAAACTTTAGATCATAATTTACTTTGTGTGCTAAACGTGAAATGTGTTTTGCAATGGGAAGAAGTAGTTGTACATTTCGATTGGGAAATACACTACATGACCAAAAGTATGTGGACACCTGCTCGGCCAACATCTCATTCCAAAATCATGGGCATTAATATGGAGTTGGTCCCCCCCATTGCTGCTATAACAGCCTCCACTCTTCTGGGAAGGCTTTCCACTAGATGTTGGAACATTGCTGCGGGGACTCGCTTCTATTCAGCCACGAGCATTAGTGAGGTCGGGCACGGATGTTGGGCGATTCGGCCTGTCTCGTAGTCGGCGTTCCAATTCATCCTAAAGGCGTTCGATGGGGTTGAGGCCAGTCAAGTTCTTCCACACCGATCTCGACATTGTCATGCTGAAACAGGAAAGGGCCTTCCCCAAACTGTTGCCACAAAGTTGGAAGCACATAATCGTCTAGAATGTCATTGTAAGCTGTAGCATTAAGATTGACCTTCACTAGAACTAAGGGGCCTAGCCCGAACCATAAAAAACAGCCCCAGACCATTAATCCTCCTCCACTAAACTTTACAGTTGGCACTATGCATTGGGGCAGGTAGCGTTCTCCTGGCATCCGCCAAACCCAGATTTGTACGTTGGACTGCCAGAAGGTGAAGCGTGATTCATCTCTCTAGAGAACGCGTTTCCACTGCTCCAGAGTCAAATGGCGGCGAGTTTTACACCACTCCAGCCGACGCTTGGCATTGCGCATGGTGCGGCTGCTCGGCCATGGAGACCCATTTCATGAAGCTCCCGACGAACAGTTATTGTGCTGACGTTGCTTCCAGAGGCAGTTTGGAACTCGGTAGTGACTGTTGCAACCGAGGACAGGCGTTTTTTACACGCTACGCGCTTCAGCACTTGGCAGTCCCGTTCTGTGAGCTTGTGTGGTCTACCACTTCGCGGCTGAGCCGTTGTTGCTCCTAGACTTTTCCACTTCACAATAACAGCACTCACAGTTGACCGGGGCAGCTCTAGCAGGGCAGAAATTTGACAAACTGACTTGTTGGAAAGGTGATGTCCTATGCCGGTGCCACGTTGAATGTCAATGTTTGTCTATGGAGATTGCATGGCTGTGTGCTTGATTTTATACACCTGTCAGCAAGGGGTGTGGCTTAAATAGCCAAATCCACTAATTTGAGGGGTGTCCACATACTTTTGTATATATAGTGTACCTACCCTAATGGTTGTGTTTTTGTATTCTTATGTGGTCCTCTGTAGCTCAGCTGGTAGAGCACGGCGCTTGTAACGCCAGGGTAGTGGGTTCGATCCCCGGGACCACCCAATACACAAAAATGTATGCACGCATGACTGTATGTCGCTTTGGATAAAAGCGTCTGCTAAATGGTATATTATATTATTATTATAATAATATGCCATTTAGCAGACGCTTTTATCCAAAGCGACTTACAGTCATGCGTGCATACATTTTTTGTGTATAGGTGGTCCCGGGGATCGAACCCACTACTTTGGCGTTACAAGCGCCGTGCTTTACCAACTGAGCTACAGAGGACCAGCTGATGATTGGGAACTACTGTCTTATTATGTTTTGTATTTTGTATTTTTTAAGGATCCTCATTAGCTGCTGCCAAAGCAGAAGCTACTCTTCCTGGGGTCCAGCAACATTAAGGCAGTTATATACAATTAAAAATATTACATGACATTTCATAACACTTTACCCAATACATTTAGTGTGTTCCCTCAGGCCACTACTCCGAGTGAATGGACTGCTTATCCTTTAGTATCATGCTGTGTGTGACTGCTGTCTTTCCATCGGCCCTATGTAGTGGTGTAGTGGTGCCTGGAGAAGTGTTTAAAGCCTACTCAAATTTTGCCAAAAGATTTCCCAAACAGCCCGCCGGTGAAGGAAAGGCGCCCTGTGTGAAAGATCTGGCTCCCAAGTGGGTGGGCCCTCCCGGGTGGGCCCTCCCAGGCATAGTTACACGTGGTCTGCGGTTGTGAGGCCGGTTGGACGTACAGCCAAATTCTTTAAAATGACGTTGGAGGCGGCTTATGGTAGAGAAATGAACATGCAATTCTCTGGCAACAGCTCGGGTAGACATTCCTGCAGTCAGCATGCCAAATGCACGCTCCCTCAAAACTTGAGACATCTGTGGCATTGTGTTGTGTGACAAAACTGCACATTTTAGTGGCCTTTTATTGTCCCCAGCACAAGGTGCACCTGTGTAATGATCATGCTGTTTAATAAACTTCTTGATATGCCACACCTGTCAGGTGGATGAATTATCTTGGCAAATGAGAAATGCTCACTAACAGGGATGTAAACAAATTTGTGCTCAAAATTTGAGAGAAGTAAGCTTTTTGTGCGTATGGAACATTTCTAGGATCTTTTATTTCAGCTCTTGAAACATGGGACCAACACTTTACATGTTGCGTTTATATTTTTGTTCAGTATAGGACAAACAACAAAAATTTGATGTTCTAAGTCCACCACAATGCTTAAACCACATCACAATTTTTGAGGGTGTAGTTGCCCTTTAATTCAATTGAGCAAAACAAATGCCCTCCCCATTGATAAAAATGAGCATGATATCATTGTCAGGTAGGCCTACTTTGCAGTCAATATTTGTGGGGAAAGCCTTTAGAAATGTTCATGTAAACAGAATTGCGCATTGCAAATAGCCTACTAACCCAGACTTCGGACCAAACTTTTTCAACCCCTGGTTTGCATGCTCAGTGTTGCCATAGTTAGCATTTACTGGTCCAAATCAAAATGTAGGAATAAATAATACTATCCTTCTCTGTGCTGTGTGCCAGGCCTTGGTCCAGACCCCAGTCCTACTTCCAGTCTTCCTCCTCATGGGACCCTTCATCCCAGAGGGACTACTCTCAGACCCCAGCCCTGTCCCAGGACTCTGCCCCCTCTTCTACCCCCAGAGAGAGGTACTCTCTGGCCCTCCACACCCCCTCACTGGAGAGTGAGAGTATCGGAGCACCTTTCTAATACATAACAGCAACTAGCCTCTAGTACTCCTAGATTATTAGCTTATTTATCCTAGCTTATTTCTGCTCAGAGTGACAGATGCATCAGGCTTGTGTTCAGTAGGGGAAAACATTTTGTTTTAATGAATCGGAGAGGTACTACCTGAACTTGTCCAATAAGAACACAGATGTTCATTTTCTCTGTTGACTGATAGCTTTTGGTCTTCTCCCACAGCTCTCCTGAAGAGACAGAGCCCACCTTCTCACTCCACTTCCACTTGGAGAACCAGGGCCCTTCCAGACCACCCTTGCCCAGAACAGAGCACCCTAGGCCCCATAGAGAGAAGCGAGCTGGGGCCTGTGGACCACCATTCTCCAGAGCTAACGTTAGCATAGCACCAAAGAACCACATAGAATGCCTAGAAACTCAAAGTGAAGGCTGGCACTTAGGCAGTGGAGATGGGGAATGGCAATGCCCTGAACGTAGCCAAGAAGACACCTCCATAGCCCCAGAGGACCAAAGGGAGAGGCTGGCTAAAGCCAAGTCCATAGAAGTGGCCTTAGCTGGTGGAGGAGATGCTGACCGTCAGGCCCAGGTGCCTGTTGCTAAATGGCAGTTTGGGAGTCTGCTACTGCCTCCACCTCAGAGAGCTTACAAGACCAAAGAGAAGGCAGACTGTGACAAAAAGAGACTAGAAAGAGGGCTGTTACTTCCTACATCAGAGAGCGAGGACTTCACAATGGAGGACATGGACAGTGGCCCGACCTTTGAACTAAGAATGGATGATGAAATTGGAGCAAGTTGTGCATTGGAGAAGGATGGCTTTGGAGCAAGTCACACAGTGGAGAGGGATGGCTTTGGAGCAAGTCATGGTTTGGAGACCGATGGCTTTGGAGCAAGTCATGGTTTGGAGACCGATGGCTATGGAGCAAGTCATGGTTTGGAGACCGATGGCTTTGGAGCAAGTCACACAGTAGAAAGAGATGGTGTTGGAGCAAGTTACACAGTAGAAAGAGATGGCGTTGGAGCAAGTTACACAGTAGAAAGAGATGGCGTTGGAGCAAGTTACACAGTAGAAAGAGATGGCGTTGGAGCAAGTTACACAGTAGAAAGAGATGGCTTTGGAGCAAGTCACACAGTAGAAAGAGATGGCGTTGGAGCAAGTCACACAGTAGAAAGAGATGGTGTTGGAGCAAGTTACACAGTAGAAAGAGATGGCGTTGGAGCAAGTCACACAGTAGAAAGAGATGGTGTTGGAGCAAGTCACACAGTAGAAAGAGATGGCGTTGGAGCAAGTTACACAGTAGAAAGAGATGGTGTTGGAGCAAGTTACACAGTAGAAAGAGATGGCGTTGGAGCAAGTTACACAGTAGAAAGAGATGGCTTTGGAGCAAGTCACACAGTAGAAAGAGATGGCGTTGGAGCAAGTCACACAGTAGAAAGAGATGGTGTTGGAGCAAGTTACACAGTAGAAAGAGATGGCGTTGGAGCAAGTCACACAGTAGAAAGAGATGGCGTTGGAGCAAGTCACACAGTAGAAGCAAGTTACACAGTAGAAAGAGATGGCATTGGAGCAAGTCACACGGTAGAAAGAGATGGCGTTGGAGCAAGTCACACAGTAGAAAGAGATGGCGTTGGAGCAAGTCACACGGTAGAAAGAGATGGCTTTGGAAGTCATTCACTGAAGAGAGATGGCTTTGGAGCAAGTCATGCTTTACAGAGGGATGGCTTTGGAGAAAAACTGTTCTTCAATGAGGGCGACGTCACTGAGGACCTCAGCCACAGGGACTGCACAGAAAGCCAATGTGCAGTTGGGTTAGTTGACCAGCAGGGGGCGCTGCATGGAGACACAGCCCAGTCAGAACGGGAGATGGTGACAGAAGGAGGACCAAGGGACAACCTCAGCGAGAGAGACCCCATCAAGAGGAAACGGCTCTTCAGTGATATGACTACTGACAACCAGAGAGGGATGGGGTGTGGAGAGATGGAGGAAAGAGCGGAGAGGGAGAGAAAGGATGACATCAAGGAAGGAGGGATGAAGAAAAATATTGAGAGGAAGAACAGCAGGAGTAGTACCAAACCCCACCAGCAGAGGAAGGTGTCACCCTCACTGAGGCAGATGAGGGATGGAGAGGGCCAGGGGGTGACCCAGATGAGGGATAGTCACCCAGAGGAGAGGAGGAACATGGATGGGCCATTGGTGATAGCTGCACAGAGGAACAGTGGAGGAAACACAGGTTAGTTCAGGACGGGACCCACACACACACACACACACACACACACACACACAGGTTAGTTTAGGACACAGATAGATAGGTTGCCTTTTAGTACACTATATGAGAGATGGATGTTGGGGATGTTATATGCTGGACAAATTGGCACTTTAGTAATAAGCCACTAGATGGCGATACAGCACTTCATTCAGTATTTACCCAATGAAGTTGTCCATAGATGCTTATTTAAGGTCAGTTTTGCATTTTCCCTCTAAGCTGATCCTGGATCTGTTGCCATGGGCAGCGCTGCTATGTCCAGCAATCTATAGGGCCCTGAGTTTTCCCCTGACCACAAGGCCTGACTAGGGAAAACTCAGAGCCCTAGTCAGCTCATATATCACAGTGCTGATGAAATAAAAAGTGTGAATCCGTTTACAGCGATTATAATGGACTTGTCTGAACACGCTGACAGAATCTGGACTGCTCGTGTTTCAGTACGCAGGAAGGAAGTGTTTGTGTGTGTGTAAAAAACGGAGTCAAGAACAGCGTAGTGTAGTGACAGAATATCAGACCTGAGCTATGCTTCAGTGAGTTTAGCTGACCTCACTCAATATGCAGACGCAGGGTCTCAAATTCAAACGCAATCACAAACACATTCACTCATTCAGACACAAACAGAGACAATTTTAAGCAGAGAGAAAGCATATAGATTTTTTCTTCTTCCAGAACCCTTAGCTGCAGGACATTCCATTCCGAAGCCATCTCAGGAGAGTGGGAGAGTATTCAGAGCCCCCCCTCTCCGGGGGACCCATCTGGGACAGACCCCCCTGGCTACTAATCATCACAACAACACTCAGGTATGTTACCGCTTCAGCCAGAGGACCATACTGCTTCTGTGCACATAGTAGAATGGTAAATGTCCGTAATTCAAACAACAACAAAATGGCCTCCCAAACGTCATTTGTTTTGGTAAACAGCGAGGGATGGGCCTGGAGAAATGTAAGCTTGTAATAGTTGGTATTTAGATACCGTGCAGAAAACCACTGAAACCTTTTACCCCTGTCCCTCTACCAGAAACCCCTTTAGCTGCATCCTAAATTTGACATTTTAGTCATTTAGTTGACATTCTTATCCAGAGCGACTTATAGTTAGTGCATTCATATTAAAGGAATACTTCGGGATTTTGGCAATAAGGCCCTTTATCTACTTCCTCAGAGTCAGATGAACTCGTGGATACCATTTTTATGTCTCTGTGTCCAGTATGAAGGAAGTTAGCGCAATGACTGGAAGTCTATGGGTATCTGTTAGCACTAACGCTAGTTAGCATAGGCTTGTGAAACTACCTCTAACTTCCTTCACTGCCAAAATCCTGAAGGATCCCTTTAAGATAGCTAGGTGGGACAACCAGATATCTCAGTCATAGTAAGCACATTTTTCCTCAATAAAGTAGCAATTAGCAAAGTCAGTGCTAGTAAGGGGGGGAAAAGTAAAGTGCAAGTGTTAGTTCAATCAAGTATAGGCTTAACTGAATGAACAACAGAGACCAAATGCAATATGGAATTTTCTTAACTAGTTTGGGGTATGGCCTCGTCTCCGAGGGATGCTGATGACATGTAACCCTATGCTTTTATTTATTTTTTACGGGGAGGGGAGGTGCTGTGGGATTGTTTAAGATACTCTTTGAAGGGGTACGGTTTCAGATGTTTTCAGAGGATGGGCAGGGACTCTGCTGTCCTGCCTTCAGGGGGAAGCTGCTTCCACCATAGAGGTGCCAGGACAGAGAAGAGCTTGGACTGGGCTGAGCGGGAGCTGCCCTCCCGTAGGGGTCAGAGGGCTAAGAGACCAGAGGTGGCAGAACGGAGTACTCGGGTTGGGTTGTGGGGTTTGAGCATCGACTGAAGGTAGGGAGTAGCAGTTCCTCTTGCTGCTCCTTAGATAAGTACCATGGTCTTGTAGTTGATGCGAGCTTAGACTGGAAGCCAGTGGAGTGTGCGGAGGAGCGGGGTGACATGGGAGAACTTGGGAAGGTTGAACTTGGGAACTACTTTTGACCATAGCTCTATGGGTCTTGGTCAAAAGTAGTGCACTATATAGGGAATAGGGCGCCATATTGGACGCACTCTGGAGGGTGAGGGGAATAAAATAGAGAGAATTCCCCCAATGCTCATTCCCCTTCATTTCCATGGAAATGGAAGACTTCAGCAGTATTGCACCACACCACACCACCGGACAGAGAAGTGATGACTCCCTGTTGGGTACTAAAGTAAAAGGCCTGGCGATAGGGCCTTCTAGTCTATTCTCTGTGTGTGTGTGTGTGTGTGTCAGCGTGTGTGTGTGTCAGCGTTTGTGTGTGTCAGCGTGTCAGCAAGTAAGCGTTTCTGTTTACAAGGAAATGAGCAGAGCTCTCCCCAGAGAGCTGAATCAGTTGATGTTCTCTTGGTAGAACAGACCACACACTATTTACCTCTACAGTCCTGTATTCCCTAGAGCACTATTTACCTCTACAGTCCTGTATTCCCTAGAGCACTATTTACCTCTACAGTCCTGTATTCCCTAGAGCACTATTTACCTCTACAGTCGTCCTGTATTCCCTAGAGCACTATTTACCTCTACAGTCCTGTATTCCCTAGAGCACTATTTACCTCTACAGTCCTGTATTCCCTAGAGCACTATTTACCTCTACAGTCCTGTATTCCCTAGAGCAGTATTTACCTCTACAGTCCTGTATTCCCTAGAGCACTATTTACCTCTACAGTCCTGTATTCCCTAGAGCACTATTTACCTCTACAGTCCTGTATTCCCTAGAGCACTATTTACCTCTACAGTCCTGTATTCCCTAGAGCAGTATTTACCTCTACAGTCCTGTATTCCCTAGAGCACTATTTACCTCTACAGTCCTGTATTCCCTAGAGCACTATTACCTCTAGAGCACTATTTACCTCTACAGTCCTGTATTCCCTAGAGCACTATTTACCTCTACAGTCCTGTATTCCCTAGAGCACTATTTACCTCTACAGTCCTGTATTCCCTAGAGCACTATTTACCTCTACAGACCTGTATTCCCTAGAGCACTATTTACCTCTACAGACCTGTATTCCCTAGAGCACTATTTACCTCTACAGTCCTGTATTCCCTAGAGCACTATTTACCTCTACAGTCCTGTATTCCCTAGAGCACTATTTACCTCTACAGTCGTCCTGTATTCCCTAGAGCACTATTTACCTCTACAGACCTGTATTCCCTAGAGCACTATTCAGTTCACTCACTCACACACACACACACATTGACTCGAACTCTGCACACACTTTGCATAAAAATTAAAAAGTAGAGTTGCAGAGTAGAATTGGGTAGAGAGACTTGGAGGGTTAGTTGGAGGTTAACCTGTTTTCTCTGGACTGGGAAGTCTGGACTCACTGTCTGGGACTAGCTGTGCAGTAGAGAGCACTGTCTAGGACCGACAGGTTTGCTGTGTTAACGCAAATAGACAGACACACTCTTTCTCTTACTCCTCTCTTCGGCTCTTCACCCTTTCACTTTCTCTCTTTTTCTATCTGTCTCTCTCTCTCACTCACAAACACATGTTTCACTCTCTTGCTCACAGGTGGAAGGAAATGAGAATTTAATCACCATCCTTCTGGACTTGAGCCTTCACACTTATCTCTCCATTCATCTGAAGTGCATCCCAAATGGCATCCTATTCCCTACATAGTGCACTACTTTTGACCAGAGCCCATATGGTAGTGCACTATATAGGGAATAGGGTGCCATTGACTGTAGTGGTAATAGAATCAGAGCACAGGAGATAGTCTATTTTAAGTTGTCTTGTACAGTTGCAGAATGAATCGCTTCCTGTGAATGGAATAATGCATCTCTTGTTCTCTCTTATCTATCTCTCTCTCTCTGTTGTGAAGGCTGGTGATGGAGGCTCCAGAGAGAGGGGGTTGAGTGTAGATCCTGTACTAACCAACCCCTCTCTTGCTGGGCATGGCAGAGCCGCAGGGCTGGGGTCCGGCCTGACCTCTATACATGCTAGTGGTGAAGAGGAGAGCAGCAGCCCTCACCCCTCTCACCCTCTCCCCTCTGCCCAACAGCCACCCCTGACACCTACCTTCTCCCTCAAAAGGAAGCATGGCGCCCCTCTGCCCAAAATCGCCCTCTTCAGGCGGCTGGTGAAATGGGAACCCCCTCGATCCTCACAGGGAAAGCAAGGAACTTGCAAGGGGGCCAGGAGGGGTGCAAACCCCAAACCCCAACCCCCAAACACCCAGACCTGACCCCAGCCTTTAGCCTAGACCCCCGAACCAAAACCAAGACCCTCCACAAGACTGAGGGAACCAAGGGCGTATCTCTAACCCCTAACCCCCCACATCGACCCCCAGCCAACCCAGTTAGGCCAAGACAGGGGGTCCCAATGGGGGAGAGGGGGCTTGAATCAACCAGAGACCATTCTAGTTCAGACACCCCCCAGCATAGATCCTCCAAAACCCCCAAACCACCCAAGCCGAAGCAGACCAGACCTGGGCCTAACCAGGGTCAACTCACCCCAGAAACAGAACCAGAGGTGGGAAGCGGTGCCGGTGACCCCCAGGCCCAGTCCAACCAATCCAAAGCCTGTCTGACTACAGCCATGATCTCTGACCCCAGAGTAAGGGATGCTGGGAAGTTGAGTCCTGAGGAGAGAGGCAAGGTGCTGGAGGAGGCAGGGCAGGCCAGTGCGCTGGTTCTAACCATGGTGTACCAGGATGGAACCACTCAGATGGACTCAGAACAGGTGGGCAAGAGTTTTCTTTTGACCCTCCAGAAAGTCAAAGCAATGTTTCTAACCTCAGGCAATTGTTTCCTTTGATATTCAAATACAGGTCTCAGAAAAACATATAATATTTGAAGGTATTTGATATGTAAGTTATTTGAAAAACAACAAAATAATGATTTGATGAAGAACCAAAAACTACAACAGTTAGTTTAATTAGTCAAAATATGTATGGTCATTATCACATATAGCTTAGAATTAAATACTTAATGATTGAAGAAAAAAAATGAAAACATGCTAAACATGGAAAGTAATACAAACGTAAACCAAACAGGCATTTAGCTAGATGTAGACGTTTGTTTGTTGAGGGACATGGACTCATCTCAACATTAGAGTAGAACACTTTTGCATTTTCAAAATGAGACATAGGGTAGTACAATACCTATGTAACAACACTTGACATTAAGTTATTATACATACAGTACCAGTCAAAAGTTTGGACACACCTACTCATTCAAGGGTTTTTCTTTATTTTTACTATTTTCTACATTGTAGAATAATAGTGAAGACATCAAAACGATGAAATAACACATATGGAATCATGTAGTAACCAAAAAATTGTTAAACAAATCAAAATATATTTTATATTTGAGATTCTTCAAAGTAGCCACCCTTTGCCTTGATGACGGCTTTGCACACTCTTGGCATTCTCTCAACCAGCTTCATGAGGTAGTCACCTGGAATGCATTTCAATTAACAGGTGTGCCTTGTTAAAAGTTAATTTGTGGAATTTCTTTCCTTAATGCGTTTGAGCCAATCAGTTGTGTTGTGACAAGGTAGGGGTGGTATACAGAAGATAGCACTATTTGGTAAAAGACCAAGTCCATATTATGGCAAAAACAGCTCAAATAAGCAAAGAGATTTGACAGTCCATCATTACTTTAAGACATGAAGGTCAGTCAATCCGGAAAATTTCAAGAACTTTGAAAGTTTCTTCAAGTGCAGTCGCAAAAACCATCAAGCGCTATGATGAAACTGGCTCTCATGAGGACCGTCACAGGGAAGGAAGACCCAGAGTTACCTCTGCTGCAGAGAACAAGTTAATTAGAGTTAACTGCACCTCAGATTGCAGCCCAAATAAATGCTTCACAGAGTTCATCTCAACATCAACTGTTCAGAGGAGACTGCGTGAATCAGGCCTTCATGGACAAATTGCTGCAAAGAAACCACTACTAAAGGACACCAATTATAAGAAGAGACTTGCTTGGGCCAAGAAACACGAGCAATGGACATTAGACCGGTGGAAATCTGTCCTTTGGTCTGGTGAGTCCAAATTGGAGATTTGTGGTTCCAACCGCCATGTCTTTGTGAGACGCAGAGTAGGTGAACGGATGATGCCAAGAGTGTGCAAAGCTGTCATCAAGGCAAAGGGTGGCTGCTTTGAAGAATCTAAAATCTAAAATATATTTGGTTCAATATGTGTTATTTCATAGTTTTGATGTCTTCACTATTATTCTACAATGTAGAAAATAGTAAAAATAAAGAAAACCCTTGAATGATTAGGTGTGTCCAAACTTTTGACTGGTACTGTATGTAGTAATTCTGTGATTACTACATTGTTACATAGAAATAGCTTTATAATTGCATAATAATGGAGTTATTACACAAGTGGAATAAGGAACAGTCACTATTCCTCTTGTGTACAGTAGTTACAAAAACTCTCTGCTCATTGCTATGCAATTAAAATGCAATTTCCAAAGTATCATGTAACAACATGCTAATAAAATGTTGGTCCAAAAGTAATTGCAGTGTTATAACACAGGCACAAGAACAGTTACATTTTACTGAGAATACTAACAGTAACTGTTAAAATATGGCTATTAAGTGTCTAAGGGGACTAAATATCCCAAAACTGCTTTCTTGAATCAACTACAGCCAACATAAGTGGAAAATCATGTTAATTTGTATTCTGATTAAACTATCCCTTTAAAGCTGGTAAAGTGTGTGTTTGAAACAAGAAAACTCAGATGGACAAAGGTTTGAAGTTGTTTTTGCTGAGCATCCAACTTCCTGTTTGCAAGATTAGCAAATGGCTTTGAATTACTCTGCAGTATTTTCAGGTATCATAAAATGAATTGCAGCTTTTGTCCTTATCAGTGGCATGTTGAGAGTCATACAATAGTGGCGTGTCACAACTGATTTATACTGCTCATCTGTACAAAATATAATTGGTTAATTCGTTTGACTTGATTATCTACACCTGGGGCATGTTCATGATCATTTACAGAATGTTCAGATAGTAATGTATTGTGTAGATCAAATATGATCTACTGTCAGATTGGAATAGTATAGGAAATTGTGTGTGTATCTGACAGTTCCTGATACAGCCCTGCCTTTAGTTGAAGGCATCCAAACCAATAGTTTCTGAAAAGTAATTCCTTCCTGAGATCTGTATTAAAATAGTTTTTTTTTTTCTTTCTACAAAGCATATTTAAAACTATAGTTATCCCAGGTCTGCAGCCAATTATGTAAGACATGATATTGGTGCAGTGTATGCCTGTAGTGATGCTACTAATGTAAGCCTGGAAAGCAAGGCTTTGTGTGTCCCAAATGGCACCCTAATTCCCTACGTAGTGCACTACTTTTGACCTGGGCTTATAGGGAATAGGCACTATATAGTGAATAGGGTGCCATTTTGGACACACAGTATTTATGTTGTTATGCCTACTCTCTGTGTGGCCTATAGAACCTCAGTCTGTCAGTGTGTGGGGTCCTATAGCTGCAACAAATACATAATTATGCTGGTTGGCCATATTCACTGACATAAACTGCTCTCTTGTCTATGTGTCCTGTAGAAGCTCAGTCCGTCAGTGTGTGGGGTGCTGGTGATGTTGAAAAGAGATCTGGACCAGACTGGACCAGTACCAGGACCAGAGGAGGGAGTGGCACCAGGAGACAGTCTGGTCTACCTCAGACTGGAACAGAAACCTGCATGGGCCCAGAGCCACCAAGACCACAACCTAGACCTCTTCAACAGGTAGGGTATATGTGTAGGAGGGAGGGAGGGAGGGAGGATAGGTGCACTACATAGAACAAGTCTGGGAAAAAATCCCAATGATGATTTGCGTCCCTCCCTGTGTGTGTGTGTCCTGTAGAGAGATGCTGCTGCAGATAGTGTCAGGGTCTCAACTGGTGGTGTGTTACAAGGCCAAAGACCTGCTCCGTACAGCACTGCAGCACTACAGATCAGACCTACACTGGAAACAAAGTAACTTTGATAGGGCCCTTTGATAAGGCTGTTAAGAACTCCCCCAACGGAGATCTGTTGGGGTTGTGGCTGTTTGTCTTGGGGTTCTTTTCCCCTATAAAGCCATACTCTCTCCTCCTGTTTGCTACTATATTATTTGATGGCTAGTCTAATACTGGCATATAGAATACATGTTTTACCTGTTTAAAGAACACTGGTCTGAAATACTGTTGTAAGTCTCGTCCAAGCCAGAACGGCCCATAGGCCAGGAGCCTATCTCCTGTTTCTGTAGCGTGAAGCAGCTTGATGTACAAGTACAACCCCTGGACAGGACGCTAGTCAGTAATCCATTATTCTGTTGTGTTCATTCCCCCCAGTCTCATCTTGTCGTGTCCAGGACCCCCAGGTAGCAGCCTGGCTGTTGGACCCAGCTGACCCCTCTTCCTGCTTCACTAACCTGCTCACCAAACACTGTAGGACACCCCCCAGAACCCCAACACCTGCCCTGGGGGCAAGGAAGGTCTGTTGCACCAAACAATACAACTAGTCTCTCTAGCACACCGGTCATCAATTCTGCCATTGAAGCAGAAGACACCACCAATCCTGGTCCTGAAGATCGATAGGGTGTGCAGGCTTTATTTCCAGCCCAGCATCACCACACCTAATTCAACTGATCTCTCATTTTTGTCCTTCATCTAGAGCCCTGCACGGGCATGAAATGTAGGCCCGAGCTCTGCCCGTGACGTTCAGGCCCTACCCAACCCGGGCCCCATTAATTCTGCCAAATTGAAGGCCCTGCAGAAATCAGAAATAACTTTCTCTGTTAGTATATCCATTAGCTGCTCCTCTGTCCGTCCCTCGCTCCTTGCGCCGGCCCCCTCCGCTCTGCGTGTGTGAGTATCCATAGCAACGGCTCCGCTGGGCAGCCTGCTCAATGACGACGAGACGTGAAAGAGCTGTTAGTTAGCTACTTTTCGTCACTCTAAACAATATTGTTTTAATCTAATCTCTCCTGTCGAGGTTGAAGCACTTCTAACACCATGTTAGGATCTTAGTAAGATATGACTGTACAGAGACACTGTGCAGCAGAGTAAGAGCAAATGGCTCTGCCTCAAAATGTAAGTGATCAATTTAGTAATTCTTGATAATGATACCCGAGCCTGGCCCGTATCCTAGTTATTGATAAAAAACATGCCGTATCCGGCCCGAACCTGATGTACTGTAAAGTGCCGGGGGCCCGTCAGGCTCGGTTCGGGTAGCAGAGCTCTACCCTCATCCCGTGATTCATAGACTTAGCAAATTCCTGATGTGCAGTTGAGGAGTTAAATATGGTGTGTTAGTGCTAGGCTGGAACAAAAGCCTGCACATCCAGTAGCTCAATATACAGTGTTACTCTCTAATTTCTGTTTCATATATCTCACCCCCCCCCCTCTCTGTCAGGTGTCCCAGGTTATCTCCAGTCTGTCTCTGCTCTACAGGCTGAATGTGGAGCTACGCTCTAAACTACAAGTCAGTCCCTCCCTGAGGATCCATGAGACCATAAAACGTCTCAGCCATATGATCCTCTTTCTTGTAATACGCACTGATACATACACACACACAGATACACACACACATGTTTTGTTCAATATCCTCGTGGGGGTTTCCATTCAAAATCCTAGTTTCCCTTACCCGTAACCCAAACCCTAAACCTAACCACTAGCCCCTTACCCTAACTCTAATTGTAACCCTAAACCTAACCCCTAAGCTTAAAAAAGCCTTTGTCGTCATGGGGACATGGGAAATGTCCCCACGAGGGAGAATTTTCCTTGTTTTACTATGCTTGTTGGGACTTTTGGGGATTTTAGGTCCCCACAAGGATAGAAGAACCAACCAACCCACACAAACATCCTACCTGACTTGTCTCTCTGTGTATCCAGAGCCAGGGTCTGTGGGACCTGTACTCTAATATGGAGCTGACAATGATCCCTGTACTGGCAGGTAAGGACACCATGTTGAGAGGTCATCATGATCCTATGACCTGACCATACTGAGCTACTATAACTAGAGGTGAAAGGAGACAAGCAGGAAGGACATGAGGAATCAAGGAAATACAATTGACATTCTCTCTAGGCCTATATGTATGCTCCTATTTACATTATGCTACTCTGGTTCTCTAAGCGATGGAGAGCCACAGGATCCATGTGAACAAGGAGTCCCTAAAGACAACATCAGAGATGCTGGGGGTAAGAACTATAATTACAATACTGTAAAAGGGAGGAAACAGAGAGGGTTTAAGTAGTGTATACACACACTCAGACACACCATGATGCCTCCAGTAGGGGGATGTTTGGAGAGTGTGTCCTGTGTCTTGCTGTGCTCTATAAATAGAATAGAGAGTCTGTCTGTCTGTTTGTTTCCTTTAGGGTGGAGTGTTGCAGTAGGAATGAGCATCACTGTTTTACACACACACGCACACTCACTAACGCACGCACACACACGGATTAAAAGTTGCTGTGATAATCTAGAAGAATAATAACCAAACTTGTCTTCTGTTTCTCATGACGACGACCCACACACAAGACATGATGAGGATGCAGAGGAGAGAGGGTGGAAGGGAGAGAGAGAAGGATGGAGGGATAACAAGTTGCAAGGGAGAGAGAAGTCCTAACATAATCATATTCTGAACCGAAGTGTTTGTTTTTCAGTGTGTGTGACACCTACACAGCGTGAGCACATTAAAAGCCTAACTGAAACAGACAGTGCTTTTAAACGACTGACAGGCAGGCAAGCAGAAAGAGACAGAGGGCTGGAGAGAGAGAGAGAAGAGAGGGGCGAGGGAGAGACATACCGAAGACTGACAAGAGGGAGAAAGGGAGAAAACCGAGTGGGAGGAGGGAAACAGAATGGAGGACGAGAGGGGTGGTGAAAAGAGAGGCAGGGGCAAATAAAAAAGAGAGTAAAGATGGAGATAGAGAGAGTGACATGACGGAAGTGTTGTTTTAGATGTACATTCCCCACTGCAGGAGGAGCGTTAGGAGAATGTTCATTCAGATATCTGACAGTATATCAAATCATATTGTATTTATCACATTCGCCGAAAACAACAGGTGTGTATACCTTACCGTGAAATGCTTACTTACAAGCCCTTAACCAACAATGCAGTTTAAAGAAAAATAAGAGTTAAGAAAATATTAACCAAAGAAAGTTTAAAAAAAATTAAAGAGTAACAATAAAATAACAATAATGAGGTTATATACAGGGGGCACTGGTACCGAGTCAATGTGCGGGGGTACAGGTTAGTCCAGGTAATTGAGGTAATATGTACATAATAATAATAATAATATGCTATTTAGCTGACGCTTTTATCCAAAGCGACTTACAGTCATGCGTGCATACATTTTTTTTTTGTGTATGGGTGGTCCCGGGGATCGAACCCACTACCCTGGCGTTACAAGCGCCGTGCTCTACCAGTTGAGCTACAGAGGACCACGCATGTAGGTAGGGGTAAAGTGACCATGCATAGATAATAAACAGCGAGTAGCAGCAGCGTAAAAAAGGGGTGGGGGGTCAATGCAAATAGTCCGGGGGGCCATTTGATTAGCTGTTCAGCAGTCTTATGGTTTGGGGGTAGAAGCTGTTAAGAAGCCTTTTGGACCTAGACTTGGCGCTCCGGTACCGCTTGCCGTGCGATAGCAGAGAGAACAGTCTATGACTAGGGTGGCTGGAGTCTTTGGCAATTTTTAGGGCCTTCCTCTGACACCGCCTGGTGTAGAGGTCTTGGATGGCAATTGAGTCTTCATGGATTTGTCTGTCTGCTTCAGAATCAGTCTCTCTCTTAACATGAAAGGACAATCTCACAACAGAACATGGTGCATCTCTCTCTGAGATAAAATAACTGTGATTACCATAAGCTTTGAAACAGAGAAAGAGAACAGAGAAGCAACACACACACTATTGCACTGTGTTTGTCTGAAAGCCAGAGGGAAACCCTTAGGTGGATGTTGTTATTGTTTTGTCTGATTTCGAGAACAGAGATGAAATACATCAAACATAGAAGAACACACACATACATACACACTGGGACACACATACACACACACTGGGACACAGACAGTGAAGAGTGTGTATAGCAGTCAGATTAGGCCAGCTCTGCCCGAGGTTTAGGAGAGAGCAGTGATAAGTCCCTGTACTGACAATTATCTCCCTTCCTCTTCAGCAATCTCTTCTCCCGTCTCTCAACCACTCAGAGTCGAAAGGAGAGAAAAAAAGAATAAAAAATAAAAAGAGGAAAACCAAAAGAGGAAGGGGTAGGGAGGAGCTCCTCCCCTTCAGTCTCTCCCCCTGCCCCCCTCCTCCCCCCCCTCTCTCTCCCACTCCCTCTCTCTCCCCCTCTCTCTGTCAGACTAAGATGAAGCAGCTTGAGCACCAGGCCCACCAGGCAGCAGGCCAGATGTTTCTAGTGTCCAGCAGCACCCAGCTCAGGACGGTCAGTGTATGTGTGTGTGTATAGGTGTGTGTGTGTATAGGTGTGTGTCTGTGTGTGCAAAGGTGTGTGTGTGCTGTCCTAATCCTGCTCTCTCTACAGGTTCTGTTTGAGAAGCTGCGTCTGCAGGAGCGCTGTGAAAACAAGAAGCTCCCCAAGACCCTCAACAAACAACAGCAGTCTACATCCGAGGCTGTGGTGAGAGACACACACACACACACAAACTGATACAAACACACACACACACACACACACTCGCATTGCCCTTCAGTAGTATGAAGTAGTAACGCCTCTCTTCTCTGTGTGTAGTTGGTTGCAGCTCCAGGACCTGCACCCTCTGCCGAAGATCATTCTGGAATACAGACAGGTCAGTGATGAACACAGTATGTTTGACTGATTGATTGATCGATTGATTCATTGGTAGCTGCTCACACAGTATTACTACAGTACTATATGACTATAATAACAACAACATGTGTGTTGTTATTTTTACCCCCCCCCCCCCCCCAGGTTCATAAGATCAAGTCCACCTTCGTCGATGGGATTCTGTCTTGCATGATGAGCAAGGTGAGCGCACACCCTCAGGCTGGGACTAAAGCATCTCTAAAGGAGCTGGTCTTCTTTAGAGATGCTTTGTGAATAGGGGCCCAGGAGTAAAAACATTTAAATAGAGGAACCTTTCTATTTAATCTCCTTCATTCCCTAGAACAAACACTAGAGGGCAGTACTAGTTAATTGTCTTTTGAAGCTCTAGTTTATTGCAAATGCTCTGTAAGGAAATGTAGCTTTGAGTCTGTCCTCTGGCATTTCCTAATGACCTGTACAAAAATGTTGATGTTTGGTTGCTTGTCATGCTAAACTGCTCTCTTTCTTCCTCTCTCACTTCTCTCTCTCTCTCTCTTTATCTCCTCCCTCTCTTTCGTTGCTCTCTCTCTGTCTCGCTCTCTCGCTCTCAGAACTTCATCTCGTCCACATGGTACCAGACCAGTGCAGTGACTGGAAGAATCTCTGCCAAACACCCAGTGAGTCCCTCATCCTCCCTCCCTCCATCTCAGGGTTACTCCTCCTTTCAACCCATCCCTCTCCTCCCTTTACCTCTCAGCAATGTCCTTGCCTTAATTTCAACACTGAGGCTCTCTCACTCTCTATCGCTCTCTCTCTCTCGTTCTCACTCGCTCTCTCTCTCTTTCTCACTCTCCCCTCCCTCTCTCTCTCTCTCTCTCTCTCTCATACACACACATACACAGACTCTAATGTCTGGTGTATTGTTGCTGAGAAAAGCTTCTCTCTCCTGTTTGAACCTTTCACTCAGGTTTTATTTTAGTCACAGAAGAGAGAGAACTGTCTTGGTAAGAGTACTGTGGTGCATTCATGTGTGTTCGTAGGCTGAGGTTGTGATAGGCTCCATGTACTAGAGGGGCTCTTGCGCGCGCGCACACACACACACACTCGAGTGGCGCAGCGGTCTAAGGCACTGCATCTCAGTGCTAGAGGCGTCACTTCAGACCCTTGTTCGATTCCAGGCTGTATCACAATCCGGCCGTGATTGAGAGTCCCATAGGGCGGCGCACAATTGGCCCAGCGTCGTCTGGGTTTGGCCGGGGTAGGCCGTCATTGTAAATAAGAATTTGTTCTTAACTGACTTTCCTAGTTAAATAAAGGTTAAATCAAAAATAAATAAACACACACACACTAGTGAGTCGGGGTGATGGAGTGAGTGAGTGCAGAGAAATACCACTGCTGAAATATTAATACACACACACACACACACACACACACACACACACACACACACACACACACACACACACACATACATACAGTACCAGTCAAAAGTTTGGACACACCTAATCATTCCAGGGTTTTTCTTTATTGTTACTATTTTCTAATAATGAAGACAATAAAACTATGAAATAACACACAGAATCATGTAGTAACCAAAAAAGTGTTAAGCAAATCAAAATATATTGTATATTTGAGATTCTTCAAAGTAGCCACTCTTTGCCTTGATGACAGCTTTGCACACTCTTGGCATTCTCTCAACCAACTTCATGAGGTAGTCACCTGGAATGCATTTCAATTAAAAGGTGTGCCTTGTTAAAAGTTACTTTGTGGAATTTCTTTCCTTCTTAATGCGTTTGAGCCAATCAGTTGTGTTGTGACAAGGTAGGGGTGGTATACAGACGATAGCCCCATTTGGTAAAAGACCAAGTCCATATTATGGCAAGAACAGCTCAAATAAGCAAAGAGAAACGACAGTCCATCATTACTTTAAGACATGAAGGTCAGTCAATCCGGAACATTTCAAGAACTTTGAAAGTTTCTTCAAGTGCAGTCGCAAAAACCATCAAGCGCTATGATGAAACTGGCTCTCATGAGGACCGCCACAGGAAAGGAAGACCCAGAGTTACCTCTGCTGCAGAGGATAAGTTAATTAGAGTTACCAGCCTCAGAAATTGCAGCCCAAATAAATGCTTCACAGAGTTCAAGTAACAGACACATCTCAACATCAACTGTTCAGAGGAGACTGCGTGAATCAGGCCTTCATAGTCGAATTGCTGCAAGGAAACCACTACTAAAGGACACCAGTAAGAAGAAGAGACTTGCTTGGGCCAAGAAACACGAGCAATGGACATTAGACCAGTGGAAATCTGTCCTTTGGTCTGATGAGTCCAAATTTGAGATTTTTGGTTCCAACCGCCGTGTCTTTGTGAGATGCAGAGTAGGTGAACCGATTATCTCTGCATGTGTGGTTCCCACCGTGACGCATGGAGGAGTAGGGGTGTTGGTGTGGGGGTGCTTTTCTGGTGACACTGTCAGTGATTTATTTAGAATTCAAAGCACACTTAACCAGCATGGCTACCACAGCATTCTGCAGCAATACGCCATTCCATTTGGTTTGCGCTTAGTGGGACATTTGTTTTTCAACAGGACAATGACCCAACACACCTCCAGGCTGTGTAAGGGCTATTTGACCAAGATGGAGAGTGATGGAGTGCTGCATCAGATGACCTGGCCTCCACAATCACCCGACCTCAACTCAATTGAGATGGTTTGCGATGAGTTGGACCGCAGAGTGAAGGAAAAGCAGCCAACAAGTGCTCAGCATATGTGGGAACTCCTTCAAGACTGTTGGAAAAGCATTCCTCATGAAGCTGGTTGAGAGAATACTAACAGTGTGCAAAGCTGTCATCAAGGCAACAGGTGGCTACTTTGAAGAATCTCAAATATAAAATATATTTTGATTTGTTTAACACTTGTTTGCTTACTACATGATTCCATATGTGTTATTTCATAGTTTTGATGTCTTCACTATTATTCTACAATGTGGAAAATAGTAAAAATAAAGAAAAATTGTTGAATGAGTAGGTGTGTCCAAACTTTTGACTGGTACTGTACATACAGTGGAGAGAACAAGTATTTGATACACTGCCGATTTTGCAGGTTTTCCTACTTACAAACCATGTAGAGGTCTGTAATTTTTATCATAGGTACACTTCAACTGTGAGAGACGGAATCTAAAACAAAAATCCAGAAAATCACATTGTATGATTTTTAAGTAATTAATTTGCATTTTATTGCATGACATAAGTATTTGATCACCTACCAACCAGTAAGAATTCTGGCTCTCACAGACCTGTTAGTTTTTCTTTAAGAAGCCCTCCTGTTCTCCACTCATTACCTGTATTAACTGCACCTGTTTGAACTCTTTATCTGTATAAAAGACACCTGTCCACACACTCAATCAAACAGACTCCAACCTCTCCACAATGGCCAAGACCAGAGAGCTGTGTAAGGACATCAGGGATAAAATTGTAGACCTGCACAAGGCTGGGATGGGCTACAGGACAATAGGCAAGCAGCTTGGTGAGAAGGCAACAACTGTTGGTGCAATTATTAGAAAATGGAAGAAGTTCAAGATGACGGTCAATCACCCTCGGTCTGGGGCTCCATGCAATATCTCACCTTGTGGGGCATCAATGATCATGAGGAAGGTGAGGGATCAGCCCAGAACTACACGGCAGGACCTGGTCAATGACCTGGAGAGAGCTGGGACCACAGTCTCAAAGAAAACCATTAGTAACACACTACGCCGTCATGGATTAAAATCCTGCAGCGCACGCAAGGTCCCCCTGCTCAAGCCAGCGCATGTCCAGGCCCGTCTGAAGTTTGCCAATGACCATCTGGATGATCCAGAGGAGGAATGGGAGAAGGTCATGTGGTCTGATGAGACAAAAATAGAACTCCACTCGCCGTGTTTGGAGGAAGAAGAAGGATGAGTACAACCCCAAGAACACCATCCCAACCGTGAAGCATGGAGGTGAAAAATCATTCTTTGGGGATGCTTTTCTGCAAAGGGGACAGGACGACTGCACCATATTGAGGGGAGGATGGATGGGGCCATGTATCGCGAGATCTTGGCCAACAACCTCCTTCCCTCAGTAAGAGCATTGAAGATGGGTCGTGGCTGGGTCTTCCAGCATGACAACGACCCGAAACACACAGCCAGGGCAACTAAGGAGTGGCTCCGTAAGAAGCATCTCAAGGTCCTGGAGTGGCCTAGCCAGTCTCCAGACCTGAACCCAATAGAACATCTTTGGAGGGAGCTGAAAGTCTGTATTGCCCAGCGACAGCCCCGAAACCTGAAGGATCTGGAGAAGGTCTGTATGGAGGAGTGGGCCAAAATCCCTGCTGCAGTGTGTGCAAACCTGGTCAAGACCTACAGGAAACGTATGATCTCTGTAATTATGTACCAAATATTAAGTTCTGCTTTTCTGATGTATCAAATACTTATGTCATGCAATAAAATGCAAATGAATTACTTAAAAATCATACAATGTGATTTTCTGGATTTTTGTTTTAGATTCCGTCACTCACAGTTGAAGTGTACCTATGATAAAAATTACAGACCTCTACATGCTTTGTAAGTAGGAAAACCTGCAAAATCGGCAGTGTATCAAATACTTGTTCTCCCCACTGTACATACATACATACATACATACTGGAGCACAGACAACAACAACCAACAGAAGTTTCTCACACTGATTCTCATGATCACACACACACACAGCAGGGTTTCCATTAGGAAAATGTGGTGACAGACATTTGACCGGCAGCATTTTAATTTACCGGACATTTGAGAAATTTACCGGACCCGTATGCATTGGTGGCGTAACCTGATTTGGGCGTCCACCCACAGTGCTCAGAAAGATAGAAATCACATTTTGATTATGGTAATTCATATGAACAGAACATACGAGTCGAGGATGCAACGATGTGCGGCCCTTCTTACCGTGTTCTGATGCTCACTTTGAAGATGTTAGAATAACTGTCCACATTGACTTTTCCTCAGCCAACAAGACGAGTAATGAACAGCAAAATCACTAGCTTATGTCAATCTACTATCCCCCATAGTAGAACAGTTTACCTAGGCCTATTCTATTGGTCAGCTTGTTGAGAAAGAAATAGCCTATTCCAAACAGACTCTGGGACAGTTGTGGGACGATAGATCCTAAATTCATACAACCAGTAGGCCTAGGCTACATAAAAATTAAAAGAAACTGTTAAAAAGCAATGAGTCTGATGCAACAGATCAGAATGTTTAGCTTAAAATGTTGATAAACTAATATTTCTTCACATTATAAGTGCAATTAGCGGGGAAATACATTGTCAAAAGCAAGCCACACATGCAAGCGGTTTCATATGACAAATATAAAAATATCTGTTAGAAATTTAGAAAGAGGGGAGATCTAAAGATGCATCAATTAGCATGGGTTGCTAATATGATAAGGATTGTGCCTTTGGCTACTGGACAATGAAATAAAGTTTATATAAAATAATTGCCTCCACGGATATGGTTTGATTTTGGCTAGGCAACTTTGAAGCAAGGTAAGACATGTCTCATAATATGTAGTAAATAGTTCAGGTTTCAAACAATTAAAGTATATGTTTTTAAAATGCATACTGCTTCCAGCTCATTGCAAAGTTGTGTGTGACGCGCTGATGAAGCCTGCCTTCCGATGCATTTTCTGTTTGAGATGCTGTAGCAGCAGCTCTCGCCATGTCTGACAGATTTTCTGCTCAAAGGCTCTGTATGCTGTATGTGTGTGATAAATAAAATACATAGCGAATATACTGTACACGCGCCAATTTAATTCCACTAAATTAAGCAAATAAACCTATAGACCAATAAGCATGAACAGTCAAATGTATTTCCATGGACTGGTATTTCCATCAATGAGTAGTCTAAAAATATTATTTCACAATGGGATTTTTTCTTCTTCTCCCGGACAATTGGCCAGCGGCAATTTTATTTATTGGCTTTTCAATTTTTTTTATCTGCCAAAAGCTGTCTGTTACCAGCTAACGGAAACCCTGAAACATGCACACTGGAGCACAGACAACAATAACCAACACAAGTTTCTCGCACTGATTCTCATGTTCTCAAACACACTATTTCTGTTGCACCGTGAAGGTGTCAGTGGAGTGTATCCTTATTATTATTATTATTATTATTATTATTATTATTATTATTATTATATTACTCTCTTTCATCTCTTGTTCCTGTATGTCTCCTGACCTCATCTGCTTCTCTCTCTCTCTCCCACCTCTTTTTCTGTGGGTCGATAGCTCATCCCTACCGTCAGGGTCCAGCGACCCTGTCACCAAGCCCCCAGACTTCCATACACACACACCTCACTTACATATTACACGCACATCACACACACTTTCGGTTTCTCACACACACACTCACTCAACTTTTCTAATCTCAAGTAATGATCTCTGCTCGCTTTCCATTGATCACTGCATGTCCCTTGTCTCACTGATGTAATGGGCTGTCGGACATTCAACCAGCTTCTACTAGTTGTACTGGAGTATTTAGACTACCTAGCTACCTTAAGTCTATCTCAGGGGTTGGTACTACAGGAACAAATAACTATGGCCCTGAGAGTAGACTATAGCGGATCTTTATGGTCCTTTTAGAAATGCTGCCATAAATAGACAATGGATTTGCTGGACTTGCTGTTAAAAGCAGAATGAGTTCTGAGCAAATCTATACTTTGACTCAATACGATGAATGGTTTATTCTACAATTTTCTGTGGAGTGCAGAAATTGGAATTCAGTGCAGAAAGCTGTTCTGCTTTGGTTCCCTGCTGTTTTGGATAGGGGGAAGAGGAGAGGAGGGGTAGTGCTGGCATTTGCTCTCTCCTTCTATACTGTATCTGATAACCACTGGGATTTGCATGCACACACACACACATATATGCACACACACAGACAGACACACAGTGACCATTGGTACATATCCCAACCAGAAGCCATGGATTACAGGCAACATCCACACTGAGCTGAAGGCTAGAGCTGCCGCTGTCAAGGAGCGGGAGACTAATCCGGACGCTTATAAGAAATCCCGCTATGACTATCGACGAGCCATCAAACAGGCAAAGCGTCAATACAGGACTAAGATCAATCCTACTACGCCGGCTCTGACGTTTGTCGGATGTGGCAGGGCTTGCAAACTATCATGGATTACAACGAGAAACCCAGCCGCGAGCTGCCCAGTGACACAAGCCTACCAGATGAGCTAAATGCCTTCTATGCTTGTTTCGAGGCAAGCAACACTGAACCATGCATGAGAGCACCAGCTGCTCCGGACGACTGTGTGATCATGCTCTCCGTAGCAAATGTGGGTAAGACCTTTAAACAGGTTAACATTCACAAGGCCGCAGGGCCAGATGGATTACAAGGATGCGTACTCAGAGCATGCGCTGACCAGCTGGCAAGTGTCATCACTGATATTTTCAACCTCTATCTGGCCTAGTCTGTAATACCTACAGTTGAAGTCGGAAGTTTACATACACCTTAGCCAAATACATTTAAACTCAGTTTTTATATATAATCCTAGTAAAAATTCCGTCTTAAGTCAGTTAGGATCAACACTTTATTTTAAGAATGTGAAATGTCAGAATAATAGTAGAGAGAATGATTTATTTCAGCTTTTATTTATTTCATCACATTCCCAGTGGGTCAGAAGTTTACATACACTCAATTAGTATTTGGTAGCATTGCCTTTAAATTGTTTAACTTGGGTCAAATGTTTTGGGTAGCCTTCCACAAGCTTCCCACAATAAGTTGGGTGAATTTTGGCCCATTCCTCCTGACAGAGCTGGTGTAACTGAGTCAGGTTTGCCCACAAATTGAATATAGGATTGAGGCAGGGCTTTGTGATGGCCACTCCAATACCTTGACTTTGTTGTCCTTAAGCCATTTTGCCACAACTTTGGAAGTATGCTTGGGGTCATTGTCCATTTGGAAGACCCATTTGCGACCAAGCTTTAACTTCCTGACTGATGTCTTGAGATGCTGCTTCAATATATCCACATAATTTTCCTTCCTCATGATGCCATTTATTTTGTGAAGTGCACCAGTCCCTCCTGCAGCAAAGCACCCCCACAGCATGATGCTGCCACCCCCGTGCTTCACGTTGGGATGGTGTTCTTCGGCTTGCAAGCAACCCCCTTTTTCCTCCAAACATAACGATGGTCATTATGGCCAAACAGTTCTATTTTTGTTTCATCAGACCAGAGGACATTTCTCCAAAAAGTACAATCTTTGTCCCCATGTGCAGTTGCAAACCGTAGTCTGGCTTTTTTATGGTGGTTTTGGAACTCGTTTTACTGTGCATATAATACTTTTGTACCTGTTTCCTCCAGCATCTTCACAAGGTCCTTTGCTGTTGTTCTGGGATTGATTTGCACTTTTTGCACCAAAGTACGCTCATCTCTAGGAGACAGAACGTGTCTCCTTCCTGAGCGGTATGACGGCTGCGTGGTCCCATATTGTTTATACTTGCGTACTATTGTTTGTACAGATGAACGTGGTACCTTCAGGCGTTTGGAAATTGCTCCCAAGGATGAACCAGATTTGTGGAGGTCTACACCTTTATTTCTGAGGTCTTGGTAGATTTCTTTTGATTTCCCCATGATGTCAAGCAAAGATGCACTGAGTTTGAAGGTAGGCCTTGAAATACATCCACAGGTACACCTCCAATGGACTCAAATGATGTCAATTAGCCTATCAGAAGCTTCTAAAGCCATGACATCATTTTCTGGAATTTTCCAAGCTGTTTAAAGGCACAGTCAACTTACTTTATGTAAACTTCTGACCCACTGGAATTGTGATACAGTGAATTATAAGTGAAATAATCTGTCTGGAAACAATTATTGGAAAAATGACTTGTGTCATGCACAAAGTAATGTCCTAACTGACTTGCCAAAACTATAGTTTGTTAACAAGAAATGTGTGGAGTGGTTGAAAAACGAGTTTTAATGACTCCAACCTAAGTGTATGTAAACATCCGACTTCAACTGTACATGTTTCAAGCAGACCACCATAGCCCCTGTACCCAAGAACGCCAAGGTAACCTGTCTAAATGACTATCGCCTCGTAGCACTCACATCTGTAGCCATGACATGCTTTGAAAGGCTGGTCAAGGCTTACATCAACACCATCATTCCAGATACCCTGGACCCACTCCAATTCGCATACCGCCCCAACAGATCCACAGATGACGCAATCTCTATTGCACTCCACAGTGCCCTCTCCCACCTGGACAAGAGGAACACCTATGTGAGAATGCTGTTCATTTACTACAGCTCAGCGTTCAACACCATAGTGCCCTCCAAGCTCATCACTAAACTAAGGACCCTGGGACTGAACGGGCTGCCCGCAGGTGGTGAGGATAGGCAACAACACATCCGCCACGCTGACCCACAACACAGGTGCCCCTCAGGGGTGCGTGCTTAGTCCCCTTCTGTACTTCCTGTTCACCAACGACTGTATGGCCGCACACAACTCCAACACCATCATTAAGTTTGCTGACAACATGACGGTGGTAGGCCTGATCCCCGACGATGATAAAACAGCCTATTGGGAGGAGGTCAGAGACCTGGCAGTGTGGTGCCAGGACAATAACCTCTCCCTCAACGTGAGCAAGACAAAGGAGCTAATCGTGGACTACAGGAAACAGAGGGCCGTGCACACCCCCATTCACATCAACGGGGCTGTAGTGGAGCGGGTTGAGAACTTCAAGTTCCTCGGTGTCCACATCACTAAGGACCTATCATGGTTCAAACACACCAACACAGTCGTGAAGAGTGCATGACAACGCCTCTTCCTCCTCAGGAGGCTGAAAAGATTTGGCATCGGCCCTCAGATCCTCAAAAAAAGTTATACAGCTGCACCATTGAAAACATCTAGACTGGCTTCATCACTGCTTGGTATGGCAACTGCTTGGCATCTGACCTCAAGGTGGTACGGAGGGTATTTATTAATACTTTGATTATAACGTGTTATTATTTTGCTATTATTTCTCTATTTTCGTTCTCTCTGCATTTCACTGTTAGTCTACACCTGCTGTTGACGAATAACACTATTTTATTTGACACATACACATGCACTGATCCGCTTTACCTCATACACACAACCACATATTCAAATGAGGCATACTGCAGAGCGATACGCTTTCATCTGAGAGGAGTTCATTTGAGGTATCTGCAATCTGCAATAACAAAAGCCTGCCTGAAATAAAACGGAACAACTATAAACGCACAGAGTTTGAAAACACGGAAAGCATCGACCAAGCCGTTTGCAAGGAGACAAAACAAAGGGATTCTTCTCTTTCTGACGGCTTTATCTTGCTCCAAAAATATGTGCAACCTGTCCCAGCCTTTCTCACTCACACAGAAGCAGACAGCTGACACACACCCTCGATCTCGATCTCTATCTCTCTCTCTCTCCTCTCTTTCTCTTTCTTTCTTTCGTTCTCTGTGTCTCCCTCCCACACACACACACAGACACACACACCCAAAAGCAGTTGGTACACACACACACACACACACACACACACACACACACACACACACACACACACACACACACACACACACACTGACATGGATGCCCTTGACAGTAAAACCAAAGAATGCAAATGAGATCAAGCTTCTTCTCTCCTCTTTATTTCTCCTCTGTCTCTTTCTTTTATCTCTCGTTTGAAACAGCGGGGTACACAAAGCATTCAGATTTCCGGGCCTCTCTTCTCTGCAGCATTTTCCTCCCTCTCTTTCTTTCTTTCTCTCTCTCTTTCAGTCTCTCCCTCCATCCCCTCCTTCACTTTCTTTCTCTCCCCCTCTCTATCTCTGTCTCTCTCTCTCTCTCTCTCTCCCTCCATCCTCTCTTTCTCTCTCTCTTCTGAGTTTTAAGCCAAAGCTTTGAATCAGGTTCACTTCTGGCCCTTTTATGTTTATGATGACGTTCACACACACTTGAATATGATTTTAAAACACACACACACACACACACACACACACACACACACACACACACACACACACACACACACACACACACACACACACACACACACACACACTGCTCAGTGTACTGTGTTTGCATTGTTTGTATTGCGTTTAAGATGCTGAAATTAGATATGCCTCCCTACACTCTTCTACAGCGTTTCTGTGCACCAGTATTTTTATGAATGTTTAAAATTTCAGACACTAAAACAGACTCTTATTTCATTCAGTGTGCTGTCTCAGGGTGGCTATGTCCCAAACGGCACCCTATTCCATAGCTGCGGGAAGTAGGGGCACTGAGGGTGCTGCTGCACCCCCTGAAAAATCAGAATAATAAAATAAAATAAAATATATTTTATATCTGTTTTTTTGTGGTCTTTTTTCACAAAAGTAGTGCACTGGGCCTTTACTAGTCTTGTATTAGCGGACCGATATAGTCGTCATAGTGCACTATGAAGGGAATAGGATGCCATTTTGGACGCAGCCAGTGAGTTAAGCTCTAACTGGGGGCTGAACTCAGTACAGTGTTACTGGATGGCTCATGCTCTCTGCTGACTTTGTCCTGCCCTACACACACACACTTCCTCTTTCTCTGCCCCTCAGCCTGTATTTGTGTGTGGGTTAAAGATGAGAGCAGCACAAGGGACCCCATTCATGACTGTGTAATTTTAAAAAGGCAGCAGTCTTGCACTTTGCTACCTGGGGCAGGAGAGAGGAGCAGCAGTCAGGGACATAGACTACTAATGACAGAGGTGCAGGGTGGTAGTCCCTTCAGTATGGGATCTCTGTGACGGAACCGTTTTATGTAAGATTGAGTTTGGATTGTGTATGTGTATGTGTTGGAGGAAGCTGTGTGTTTGGGGAGGGTGTATGTGTATGTGTGTGTGTGTGTGTGTGTGTGCACGCATGTATGTTTGTGTGTGCTTTTCTCCTGTGATGACTCATTAAGTTGGTGCAGTGTGATTAAATCACTGCACACCAGCACAGCAATCCCCATCTGTTTAACATGGGGGTCCACTGGGACCATTCTCTCTTTCTCTTTCTTTCTCCCTCTCCCCACCCTTTCTCCTTTGCTCTCTCTCTCTCTCTCTCTCTCTCTCTCTCTCTCTCTCTCTCTCTCTCTCTCTCTCTCTCTCTCTCTCTCTCTCTCTCTCTCTCTCTCTCTCTCTCTCTCTCTCTCTCTCTCTCTCTCTCTCTCTCTCTCTCTCTCTCTCTCCTCACCCCATCCTTTCTCCTCACTCTGTCACTCCCCAACCTCCTCCTCTTAGAGCACTGTTTATCAGTATCACCTGCTGTAGGGAGTCTCAAAGAATAAACTGCATACAATAGAAGCCTCTCAGATGCGGTGTGTGTGTTAGTGAGGAGGGTGCCTCAGCACAGCTCATTTGTGTTGCTTAGCTGTACATCAGTGTCATCCACCCAAACACACACTATCTCAATCTGTCTTTCTCTTTCACACCCACGCACACACTGCGCTCGCACACACACACACACACTCGCTCTCTTTTAACACACATGCGTTGTGCGCAGTGCACACACTGCACACACACATACACCGAACACAGCAGTAGCTGCTAGAACCATGTGGTATATACAGTTGAAGTCGGAAGTTTACATACACTTAGGTTGGAGTCATTAAAACTTGTTTTTCAACCACTCCACAAATTTCTTGTTAACAAACTATAGTTTTGGCAAGTCGGTTAGGACATCTAATTTGTGCATGACACAAGTAATTTTTCCAACAATTGTTTACAGAGATTATTTCACTTATAATTCACTGTATCACAATTCCAGTGGGTCAGAAGAACTTTGTTTAAAAGGCAAAGTTGACTGTGCCTTTTAAACAGCTTGAAAATTCCAGAAAATTATGTAATGGTTTTAGAAGCTTCTGATAGGCTAATTGACATAATTTGAGTCAATTGGAGGGGTACCTGTGGATGTATTTCAAGGCCTACCTTCAAACTCAGTGCCTCTTTGCTTGACATCATGGGAAAATCAAAATAAATCAGCCAAGACCTCAGGAAAAAAATTGTAGACCTCCACAAGTCTGGTTCATCCTTGGGAGCAATTTCCAAACGGCTGAAGGTACCATGTTCATCTGTACAAACAATAGTACTGTCACGGTTTCGGCCGAGGCTGCTTCTCCTCCTTGCTCGGGCAGACTTCGGCGGTCGTCGTCCCCGGAGTACTAGCTACCACCGTTGTATGTTTTCGATGTTCCTTTTGGTTTGTGTTTGTACCGTAGGACTTCACGTATCGTTTGTTGTTTTGTTCGCTGTGGTGTACTAAATAAAATATGTACGCATCTCTTCAAGACGATCGTGACAAGTACACAAGTATATACACAATGGGACCACGCAGCCGTCATACCACTCAGGAAGGAGACGCGCTCTGTCTCCTAGAGATGAGCGTACTTTGGTGCGAAAAGTGCAAATCAATCCCAGAACAACAGCAAAGGATCTTGTGAAGATGCTGGAGGAAACAGGTACAAAAGTATCTATATCCACAGTAAAACGAGTCCTATATCGACATAACTTGAAAGGCCGCTCAGCAAGGAAGAAGCCACTGCTCCAAAACCGCCGTAAAAAAGCCAGACTACGGTTTGCAACTGCACATGGGGACAAAGATCGTACTTTTTGGAGAAATGTCCTCTGGTCTGATGAAACAAAAATAGAACTGTTTGGCCATAATGACCATCGTTATGTTTGGAGGAAAAAGGATATGGCTTGCAAGCTGAAGAACACGATCCCAACCGTGAAGAACGGGGGTGGCAGCATCATGCTGTGGGGGTGCTTTGCTGCAGGAGGGACTGGTGCACTTCACAAAATAGATGGCATCATGAGGAAGGAAAATTATGTGGATATATTGAAGCAAAATCTCAAGACATCAGTCAGGAAGTTAAAGACAATGACCCCAAGCATACTTCCAAAGTTGTGGAAAAATGGCTGAAGGTCAACAAAGTCAAGGTATTGGAGTGGCCATCACAATGCCCTGACCTCAATCCTATAGAAAATTTGTAAGATGAACTGAAAAAGCGTGTGCGAGCAAGGAGGCCTACAAAACTGACACAGTTACACCAGCTCTGTCAGGAGGAATGGGCCAAAACCCAACTTATTGTGGGAACGTTGTGGAAGGCTACCCGAAACGTTTGACCCAAGTTAAACAATTTAGAGACAATGCTACCAAATACTAATTGAGTGTATGTAAACTTACGACCCACTGGGAATGTGATGAAAGAAATAAAAGCTGAAATAAATCATTCTCTCTACTATTATTCTGACATTTCACATTCTTAAAATAAAGTGGTGATCCTAACTGACCTAAAACAGGGAATATTTACTAGGATTAAATGTCAGGAATTCTGAAAAACTGAGTTTAAATGTATTTGGCTAAGGTGTATGTAAACTTCCGACTTCAACTGTATGCCCATTCATGACTGAGCAAAAACATCTGTATCGCAGTATTTTTTCCATAGCAAAAATGTAAACACGAAACAGATCAAACTCTTTGGTCCTTTAAAAACATGCTGTATGTAAAATATTGTGCTATAGCTTGGAAAATAAATACATGTGGATGACAACATATTGATGTTTGTTTTCAACATTAAGGCTCCTCCACCATTTCAGCTAGTTTAGCCACCTAGCATTAGCCTGTATCTCATTATTACAACAATGTCTATGAGTCAGCTCCCATATTATTATTATTATTACCATTCTAATTCACAAGCACTGTGTTAGCATAGCGCTTAGCGGTCAGCGTGCCATCCATCCATCCACAGACATTGTCACGTCTCCTCCCGTTGCTCCCCTCCGGTGCTCTGATTACCCGGTCTACTGAGCCACCGGTCTGAGCGCACCTCCTCAGCAACACCGGAATGGAAACCCAACGCACCCTAATCACCTCCAGGGCACCTGCACCTCATCATCTCATCACCACCCCTATTTAGCCCTGGACTGTTCTGTATGATGTTGTGTGTGATTGTTAAGCGTCGTGTCGTTTACTCTCTCGTTGTTATTCTCTTTCTCATTATTAAGTAAACCTTGACCTTGTTAATTCCTGCGTCTGCGTCCTGCCTCTTCGTATATCAGTACTCGTCACAGAATCAAACACCATGAAAATGGATGCAGCAGGAGTTTCCCAGTGCCTCGACCAGTACCAGCAGCAGCTTGCCCAGTTAAACGCCACCATGCAGATAGTGCTCCAAACTCTGCATAATCTGCCCAGCACTCCGGTTCCACCTCAGGGAGCGGCGAGTTGTCCAATCCACCTGTTCCCGTGCTATCACCCACTTCTGCGGGAACCCTCGCCCTACCGGAGCGCTATGACGGTAAAACTACTAAATGTAGCGGCTTCCTGCTACAGGTTTCACTTTACCTGGCACGTCAGCCTGGGGCATATCCATCTGACCAAGCCAGGATAGCGCTGGTGATTTCGCTACTTAAAGGAAAGGTGCTGGATTGGGCCACGGCAGTCTGGGAAGGAGAGGAGGCAGTGGCGCTTCCCTACCCCACCTTCCTCGCTCGGTTCAGGGCGGTGTTTGACCATCCCACGGAGGGAAAGGACAGGGGTGAGCGTCTCCTCCATCTACAACAGAGAGAGGGGCCCACGTCCGAGTACGCTCTGAGCTTTCGCACGGTGGTGGCGTCTTCCGGCAGGAATGAGCGCGCTCTACGCACGGCCTTCCAGAGAGGCTTACGGGAGGACATTAAGACGGAACTCGCATGTCGGGACGACGAGATAGACCTTTATACCCTCATCACCACGTCCATCCGTCTTGACGACATGTTGAGAGAGAGACAGCATTCCCAACACCTCCCGGAGCCTCGACGCTCACCCCATCTGAGCTATGGAAGCCGCCCTGCTTCCGAGTCCTCACCCATGGAGGTGGGCAGCACCCCCTACACCACCACGGACCACAGATCTCCTGGCGGCTCCCTATCTAGGCGGTATGACTCCCGTCGCCGCTCCGTGAGTGTGACGTCATCTCCTATCACAAAACCATTGTTTTTAGTTCCCATAACGGTGACTGGTTATTCCTTCTCTTCCATCTCTACTGCAATGATAGATTCCAGATCAGTGGGGAACCTTATAGATAGGGAGCTGGTCTCTGAATGGGGGTTGCCCACCGTGCTACTGCCTTCTCCGCTACACGTCACCTCAGTAGACAATAAACCCCTTGGATCAGGCACCATAACGCACGTCACTCTCCCCATCACCATCACCATTCCCACACTACCGGAGCACCACGAGGAGCTGTCATTCCACATCGTCACGTCACCCCTTCACGGATTGACTTGGGATTGCCCTGGCGCAGACTACACAACCCCATCATCAATTGGATCACCAAGAGGATCACAGCCTGGTCCACCTCATGCCGGAAGACCTGCCTGCCGGTGGATTGTTGTTCCACGTCAGTGGAGAGTCCGAAGTCCGCCCTCCAGCCCAACATTCCACGTGATTATGCAGATCTCTCCGATGTCTTGTCTTCATCAAAGGCTACGTGTCTCCCTCCTCACAGGCCCTGGGACTGTGCCATTGACTTGCTGGAGGGACACCACCCCCCGAAGAGTCGCATTTACCCCCTTTCCATGGCGGAGACTGAGGCCATGGAGAAGTATGTGGCGGAGACCCTGAAACGGGTTCATCAGACGCTCTACCTGTCCTGCCTCCGCCAGCTTCTTCTTCCTGGCCAAAAATGACGGAGGACTGAGACCATGCATTGACTACAGGAGGCTGAACGCAGTCACTACCAAGTACCGGTACCCCCTCCCTCTGGTTCCGTCGGCCATCGAGCAGCTACGAGGGGCCCGGTACTTTACCAAGTTTGACCTGAGGAGTGCCTACAACCTGATTGAATCCGGGAAGGAGACGAGTGGAAGACGGCATTCAGCACTACCTCAGGCCACTATGAATACTGCGTCATGCCCTGCGGCCTCGCCAACACACCTTCTGTGTTCCAGTCCTTCGTCAATGACGTGCTCCGGGACATGCTGAGTAGACAGGTGGTGGTGTACATCGACGATATCCTGATCTACTTGGCTACGTTCGAGGAGCACGTCAGGGACGTCCGAGCTGTCCTACTCCGCCTCCGGGAACACAGCCTGTTGGTGAAGGGGGAGAAATTAAAATTCCACCAACAGGCCATCTCCTTCCTGGGATACAGGATCAGTCCTCAGGGGGTGTTCATGGAAGGAGTGAAGACGGACGCCGTCAGGTCATGGCCAGTCCCCACCACCAAGGGCCTACAGAGCTTCCTGGGCTTCGCCAATTTCTATCGGCGTTTCATCTGGTCCTTCAGCTCCATAGCCGCCCCGCTCACCTCTATCCTTAAGGGTGGGCCTCAGAAGCTGGCCTGGAACCCTGAGGCTGACGCTGCATTCAAGAGGCTGAAGGAGAGGTTCACCACAGCGCCCATCCTAAAACACCCAGATCCATCTCGTCCTTTCATCCTGGAGGTGGACACATCGGAGGAGGGCGTGGGTGTGGTCCTCTCCCAGCAGCACGGTAAGCCAGAGAAAATGTATCCCTGTGCCTTTTTCTCTAAAAAGCTACCCCCACAGAGAGGAACTATGGAGTTGGAGACAGGGAGCTGTTGGCAGTGGTCCTCGATCTGGAGAAATGGAGACACTGGCTGGAGGGCGCAGTCAATCCATTCCGGATTCTTACTGATCACCGGAATTTGGAGCACATACGGGCAGCGAAACGGATGAACTCTCGTCAAGCCAGGTGGGCCCAATTTCTTACTCGCTTTCAATTAATTCTGTCCTACCGCCCAGGATCCCAGAATGTGAAAGCCGACACACTCTCCAGGATGCACCATACCGGAGAAAGGAAGGATCTGCGGGGTCCTATCCTGCCCTCGTCTCTCATCGTTGCACCTGTCGTTAGGGATGTGGACGAAGACATCCGCCTGGCGGGGTACTGTCACGTCTCCTCCCGTTGCTCCCCTCCGGCGCTCTGATTCGCCAGTCTACTGAGCCACCGGTCTGAGCGCACCACCTCGGCAACACCGGAATGGAAACCCAACGCACCCTAATCACCTCCAGCGCACCTGCACCTCATCATCTCATCACCACCCCTATTTAGCCCTGGACTGTTCTGTATTGTGTTGTGTGTGATTGTTAAGCGTTGTGTCGTTTACTCTCTCGTTGTTATTCTCTTTCTCATTATTAAGTAAACCTTGACCTTGTTAATTCCTGCGTCTGCGTCCTGCCTCTTCGTATATCAGTACTCGTCACAGACATAGACAGATACAGACAGAGCTAAACCACACCCATTAAGGACGGCTTGTTGTTTCCAAGCGAATTAAATCATGAATAAAACATAGCTGACACACACTCTTGTCACACACACAAAACAACACACACACTGTTGTTCATATAAACACACACCTGTTTAAATAAGCATACACATCTGCTCACAAACACACACACACACACTCCCTTTCCCAGGCTCATTGATTCTGAATGGGCCACTCATACAGACCACTCATACAGTTTTCATATTGTCTCTCCCCCTCTGACTATGAATGGACACCCTTGGAAATGAGTCCATGTTTTTGTTTCCTTATTGTCTTGTCAGCCTCATATGAGCTCACAATGACAAAACACCTGCTAGTAGTGTTAACCAGGGGATCGTTTAGCATTTAAATATTAATGTTGTTTTGGTTGCTTGCTGCCCATGTTGCCTTCCTCCATAAGGCCTGGAAAGAATAAACAGAGATGGTAGTCTATACAACGTTCTAATGGGATCTGGTATAAACATATTGCAGTATCACATACGCCGTAAGTTTATACATGCATCGTCTTATTTATAGTATTTAGGGCCAGGAGTAATTTTTTTCTGGATCCTTGTTATAGCTACAAGAAGTTTCAATCGTTTTTTTCCTAAACAAGTTTTGACTTGTAACAAGGGTTTTTACTGACCATGTGACCTGACTTCAGACAGTAGAAGCTGAGATGTGATGTGGCCTTAGAGAATGTAGTGTTGACTGATGGGCTACAGAGAGTAGTGATATCTGTTTGTTTGTCTGTCTGCCTTTCTGTCTGTCTGTCTGTCTGTCTGTCTCTGTCTGTCAGAGAGCCTCTTACATTGAGCTGCAGGGTGTCTCGGTAAGAACAGTATGGCGGCATGTTAGTGGTTGTCACGACAACCTGCTGTGTGATGATTTGAAGGGTGTGCCGTCATGACAACACTTCAGAATGACAGTTTGAGGAGACTTTGAGAAGATAGAGATAGTTGTGTGTGTGCGAGTGTGTGTGTGTGTGTGTGTGTGCGAGCAAGCGTGTGTGTGTGTCTTCAGATGTATTACACTTGAAGTTTGAGGCAGTTCAAGGATGCCTGGGTCATTCCACGAAAAGAGTGCCTTTTGCATCCATTTGATAATATTATTTTAAGTAGAAATTGTGCACCAATATTGAATTTTTACAAGGCTGTTATATTAAAGGCCAATCCGCAATTGAAAAAATAACAAAGCAAATCCCGCCACTGTTTCGGTAAAGAGGCTATATAGTGTTCGTCTACATTTACCTTCTTTAAAAACATTGGAGTAGAACAAGCTTATATTTGGGTTCTGATGGGTTACGAGAGTTAAACTAAGCTCATGAGGCATAAAATAAGTGATATTCTTCAAGAATCAATGGGTACATGTCATTAATTTATAAGTCCAAAAATGTATGTACCAAACGCTGATTGCTCCTTTAAATGAAGTGCCCTTTAATAAAGACCACATTATAATTTTTTATATGAAATGCTGAAATGCCGAAAAATTCTGCAAATGGACATGTCCTCTGTGCACCCTCTGTGACTTTCTCCACGTTTTCACCATCATTGCAAAGCCCTAGGCCTAGTTATTTTTTTTGCTTTGACAAAGTCATTTTTGCTCTAACATGCACTGTCAACTGTGGGACCTTATATAGACGTGTGTGCATTTCCAAATCATGTCCAATGAATTAATTTACTACAGGTGGACTCCTATCAAGTTGTAGAAACATCTCAAGGATGATCAATGGAAACAGGATGAAACTGAGCTCATGTCACGCCCTGGCCTACAGAACTCTAGCTAGTTTGGTCAGGGTGTGAATATTCTAGATATTTGAAAACTCATGTAATTTACAGTACAGTTATACCCTGGGTTGTCCTGAACAGAATGAGCTTATTTACATAATTTAGCAGACGCTCTTATCCAGAGCAACTTACAGTTTTAGTGAGTGCATACCGTGGGAATCGAATCCACAACCCTGGCGTTGCAAGCGCCATGCTCTACCAACTGAGCTACAGGAGGCCGTATTGTGAAAATTCGCAGCGGAACACGCACTTTAATGCACTCATGACTCCATTCTATGCGCACAAAAATTACAATCTGTTTGTCTGAAGTGCCTTTTGAAAGCCTAACTGTAAGATCATATTTTATAACTTAGCTAGCCAAGTTGGCAATAGAATAAGCTTTCAAATGATGCCCACCTGACCCAAATTGCGATTTATAATGGAACGTTTTTGGATTGTGTAAACAACAACAGTAATTGTGTGATGGTGGGGACGCAGGGCTGTGATCCAAACAAAAAACGACATGTGTGCTTGCTTCAGTTCCTCAATGGCAAAGCTAGGATACCTAAAAGAATAGCACCTTAGTTGATGTCTCTTTCCTTGAGTCATAAAAGTGCATTGAAATTACTTAGGAACTGTTGCACACAAGTTAGACCTCTCACTCAAACCCTTGTAATAGTTTTTTCTTATCTTGCACCTACTCCAAAATGTCAATGAATATTCATATTATGCTACTAAATGTATCCAGAGTATTTTCTTTATTGACAAATGCTGTGAAAAGTATAGTAAATATAAAATCAACAGTGTAATGTTTGTATTCAGTCTTGTGTCAGGTGAGCTGTTGTGTCCTCACCTTTGGTCTGATAATTTCCCCATAATTGTCACGCCCTGGCTCTGGGGACTATGTTATGTTGAGCCAGGGTATGTAAGTCTATGTTTGTATATCTATGTGGGCCTGAGTGACTCCCAATCAGAGGCAACGAGTGTCAGCTGGTTGTCTCTGATTGGGAGCCATATTTAACTATCGGTCTTTTCACTTTGTGTTGTGGTTTCTTGTTCCGTTAAGGTTTGTTCGTGTTGTAACCTTAGACGTCACGCATCGTTGGTTATTGTTTTGATCGTGTGATCAGTTAATAAATATATATTATGTTCACCTTCAACGCTGCGCATTGGTCCTCTCTCGTAGACGATCGTGACAGAAGAAACCACCAGAACTGGACCAAGCAGCCTAGTGAGGAGCAGAGTAGGTGGACTTGGCAACAGTGGAGGCAGAGCTTCGACTGGGTCAAGCCGAATGAGGAGCTGAATGACGGAGATTGGAAGCAGAGGAGCGAGAGGTGGGCGAGAATTATCGAGGCCTGGCCCACGGGGAAGAGAGACTCCCAGAAATTTTTTAGGGGGGGGGGGCTCACGACGTCGGACCAGCAGGAGGCCGCGATAGAGCGGCCCAGTGGGTTGCCAGAGGAGGCCGCCAGGTTACGGGGGCCACTGGTCGAAGAGGGGATGGAGGATGTAGAGGCACGGCGAGAGGTACTGGCGTGTGTTGCCAGTCCGGTCCGGCCCGTTCCAGATCCCGGTGTAGGGCCAGTGGTGTGTGTCCCCAGTACGGTCCGGTCTATTCCTGCTCCCCGCACCAAGTCAGGGGTGCGCATCGTCAGCCCGGTTCGGCCCGTTCCTACTCCACGCACCAAGCCTACGGTGTGCGTCGACAGCCCAGCCCGGCCCGTTCCTGCTCTCCGCACCAAGTCTGTGGTGCGCGTCGCCAGCCCAGTCCGGCCCATCCAAGCTCCCCGCACCAAGCCAGTGGTGTGCGTCGTCAGTCCGGCACGGCCCGTGCCTGCTCTCCGCACCAAGTCTGTGGTGCGTTTCGTCAGCCCTGTCCGGCCCGTTCCTGCTCTCCGCACCAAGTCTGTGGTGCGCGTCGCCAGCCCAGTCCGGCCCATCCAAGCTCCCCGCACCAAGTCAGGGGTGCGCTTCGTCAGCCCGGTCCGGCCCGTTCCTGCTCCCCGCACCAAGTCAGTGGTGTGCTTCGTCAGCCCAGTCCGGCCTGTCCCTGCTCCACGCACCAAGCCTACGGTGTGCGTCGTCAGCCTGGTAAGGCCCGTTCCTCCTCCACGCACCAAGCCAGGGGTGCGCGTCGTCAGTCCAGCACAACCCGTGCCTGGGTCATGTCCGGAGCCGGATCCGCCGCCGAGGCGGAGTGCCCACCCGGTCCCTCCCCTGTTGTGGTTGTTTGGCGCGGTCGGAGTCCGCGCCTTTGGGGGGGGGTACTGTCACGCCCTGGCTCTGGGGACTATGTTATGTTGAGCCAGGGTATGTAAGTCTATGTTTGTATATCTATGTGGGCCTGAGTGACTCCCAATCAGAGGCAACGAGTGTCAGCTGGTTGTCTCTGATTGGGAGCCATATTTAACTATCGGTCTTTTCACTTTGTGTTGTGGTTTCTTGTTCCGTTAAGGTTTGTTCGTGTTGTAACCTTAGACGTCACGCATCATTGGTTATTGTTTTGATCGTGTGATCAGTTAATAAATATATATTATGTTCACCTTCAACGCTGCGCATTGGTCCTCTCTCGTAGACGATCGTGACAATAATCTCCAAAGTGTTCTCTTTCAATTGCTACCATGGTCATGCATCCAGATGTAGGATCTTAATTTGATCACTCTTTTGTTGATGAGTATTCAAGTTTTAAAACGGCATCTAAAGTTTGTTATTTCCACTTTAACATTTCAGACTTGATTTGCCCTAATTTAAAATGTATCAATCCTTACAAAAATAATATAATCCACATAATAATTCACATTTCCTTTTGCTGCAGGATTATTTTCCTGCTGTAGCAAATTAGCTCAAATTAAGATCCTACATCTGTATGCTTTTTATAGTTTTTCTGTTAGAAACATTTCAATTTGTCCCTATCCATATAGGCCAATTTCCACGAGTGTAAGGGGTTAATTTTATAGTAATTTTTTACTGTACATGTATGTAAAAAGTTGCACTTCTTAAAAGGCACCGAATTAGTGGAACGACCCATCTGAAGAGGATTTAAAGGCTTATGGGAGTAAAGCTTGGATCACAAGGCTGACTGGTGTTGAATAAAAGTATATATGGCATCCTGGCAGAGTCAGTGTTAGTTCTTCAAACACACACACGATTTCTACACCTCAAACCTGGAACAGGACTGACAAATACAGCGATGAAAATAAAGTGAGGGTCAAGTCCTGGGGGCCTGGGCAGCCAGACGCTATGGTGGTTTTGTCTGTTTGTTTACATTTACATTACATTTTAGTCATTTAGCAGACACTCTTATCCAGAGCAACTTACAGTTAGTGAGTGCATACATTATTTTATTTTTTTAATGTTATACTGGCCCCCGTGGGAATCAAACCCACAACCCTGGCGTTGCAAACGCCATGCTCTACCAACTGAGCTACCTCCCTGCCAGCCAGCCATTCCCTCCCCTACCCTGGACCAATTGTGCGCTGCCCCATGGGTCTCCCGGTCGCGGCCAGCTACGACAGAGCCTGGATTTGAACCAGGATCTCTAGTGGCACAGCTAGCACTGCGATGCAGTGCCTTAGACCACTGCGCCACTCGGGAGAGTTTACCATGATTGACTCCACACGCTCACACGCACACAATCCTAACCTAAACCATTAGTGGGGGAAAATGCAAAACTGACCTGAGATCAGCATCTAGGGGCAACTTCATCCTACACCAGAATAACTAAGAGAGTGGTGTAGATAAGATAAGGACCTGTGTTAAGACCTCTCTGTGTTCTGTGTAAGAGGAGTAACTGATTTAGGGTCTGTTTTTCTGAGAGCACTGAGCAGAATGCAGGTTCAGCAGTGACAGTGTAGGGCTGTGTGTTTGACAGAGCGGTATTGATCAGCCGTGTGTGTGTGTCTCGTACTGTCAGCAGTAGCAGAGGTAGCTGATCCAAGCTCCTTTATTTTAGCCTTCCCTCATTCATCCATCTCCAGTATTCGCCGGGACGTAGTTGACACGGAGGCTGAATCTCACAAACATACACACACACTCACACCAGCCATCCTTCACCCTTAACCCTTTACACTTGTGGGAATTGTCCTATATGGATAGGGCTAAATTGAAATGTTTCTTACTGAATAAATATGATAAGCATGGTAGCAATTAAAAAATATGGTAGCAATTAAATCTCTTTGGAGATTATGAGGACATTTTCAGACCAAAGGTGAGGACACAACAGTTCACCGGACACAAGCCTGAATCCAAACATTACACTGTTGATTTTATATGCTTTTTACATTTACTGTACTTTTCGCAGCATTTGTTGATAACTGAGAATACTCTGGATACATTCAGTAACATAATATGAATGTTCCTGGAAAATTTGGGGTAGGTGCAACATAAGACAAAACAATGATAAGGGTTTGAGTGAGAGGTCTAACTGGTGTCTCCAAGTGGCCACACACCTCTCCAAAGTGTGCACAGTTCCTAAATAATTTCAATGCACTTTAATGACTCAAGGAAAGAGCTTTCTTGTCTGGTTACCCATCCACATCGCTCCAGCCAACTGATGTTTCTTCTCCACCATGAGTCTGGATTTGCCTGCCTCCCCAACGATTTCTAGAATGTGAACAGATTCTGACCGTTCTGATTGGTTCCAGAAACTGATGGGTTTGACCAGAGCCGGCCTACAAGATGATGTTATCAACTTTGCTACTCTGATTGATTAGATTTGTTAGACACGATCCAATCGCTGATTCATTTGTTTTGTACAACGTCCCTCATTTTGAAGTCACACAAACGACTTCTAGGATGGCAGTTTCAGACTGAATGTACACTACCGGTCAAACGTTTGGGGTCACTTAGAAATGTCCTTGTTTTCCATGAAAACATACATGAAATGAGTTTGAATAGAAAATATAGCAAAATGAATATGAAATGTAGTCATTGACAAGGTTAGAAATAATGGTTTTTAATTGAAATAATAATTGTGTCCTTCAAACTTTGCTTTCGTCAAAGAATCCTCCATTGGAGTCCAGAATGGAGTCATTCAGGTGCATGTTTCACGACTAATTTTCTTCACAATAGAGCTCTCCAGTTTGTAGTCCTAAAAACCTTATACATTTTGTTCTATGAGATAATATCAGGCGGTTAACATGACCTTTATGAGTTATTAAGGCTTTATGTGCTTATTTTGATTACATAAATGCTTCAAAATTCACAACAAGTGACATTAGCTGATGAAGATGATCTCATAGAACAAAACATATAAGATCTCCTAAGCTCGTACCCCTGCACATTGACTCTGTACTGGTACTCCCTGTATATAGCCTCATTATTGTTTTTATTGTGTTACTATTTTCTGTGTTACTATTTCCTGATTGCCTAGTCACTTTTACCCCTACCCACATGTTCATACTGTATTACCTCAACTACAAAGGAGATGATCGTGGACTACAGGAAAAGGAGGGCCCGAACAGGCCCCCATTAACATTGACGAGGCTGTAGTGGAGCGTGTCGAGAGTTTCAAGTTCCTTGGTGTCCACATCACCAACAAACTATCATGGTCCAAACACACCAAGACAGTCGTGAATAGGGCACGACAACACCTTTTCCCCCTCAGGAGACTGAAATGATTTGGCATGGGTCCCCAGATCCTCAAAAAGTTCTACAGCTGGTATGTCCGCCTGGTATGGCAACTGCTCGGCATCTGACCGTAAAGCGCTACAGAGGGTAGTGCGTACGGACCAGTACATCACTGGGGCCAAGCTTCCTGCCATCCAGGACCTATATACTAGGCGTGTCAGAGGAAGGCCCAAAAAATGGTCAAAGATTCCAGTCACCCTAGTCATAGACTGTTCTCTCTGCTATCGCACGGCAAACGGTACCGGAGCGCCAAGTCTAGGTCCAAAAGGCTCCTTAACAGCTTCTACCACCAAGCTATAAGACTGCTGAACAATTAATCAAATGGCCACCTGTACTATTTACATTGACCCCCCCCCCCCCCCCCCCTTGTTTTTACTCTGCTGCTACTCGCTGTTTACTATCTCGCTGTTTGCAGTCACTTTACCCCTACCTACATGTACAAATTACTTTGACTAACCTGTACCCCGCACATTGACTCGGTACCGGTACCCCCCTGTATATAGGCTCTGCACTGAGGCTAGGAAACACTATTACCACCGATAAATCTACAATAATCGAGAATTTCAACAAGCATTTTGCTACGGCTGGCCATGCTTTCCACCTGGCTACCACTACCCCGGCCACCAACTCTGCACCCTCCGCTGCAACTTGCCCATGCCCCCCCCCGCTTCTCCTTCACACAAATTCAGACAGCTGATGTTCTGAAAGAGCTGCAAAATCTGGACCCCTACAAATCAGCTGGGCTAGACAATCTGGACCCTTTCTTTCTAAAACTAGCCGCCTAAATTGTCGCAACCCCTATTACTAGCCTGTTCAACCTCTCTTTCGTAACGTCTGAGATCCCCAGAGATTGGAAAGCTGCCGCGGTCATCCCCCTCTTCAAAGGGGGTGACACTCTAGATCCAAACTGTTACAGACCTATATCCATCCTGCCCTGCCTTTCGAAAGTATTTGAAAGCCAAGTTAACAAACAGATCACCAACCATTTCGAATCCCACCGTACCTTCTCCGCTATGCAATCCGGTTTCCGAGCTGGTCATGGGTGCACTTCAGCCACGCTCAAGGTCCTAAACGATATTATAACCGCGATCGATAATAGACAGTACTGTGCAGCCGTCTTCATCGACCTGGCAGACTAAATAGCCTTGGTTTCTCAAATGACTGCCTCGCCTGGTTCACCAACTACTTCTCAGATAGAGTTCAATGTGTGAAATCGGAGGGCCTGTTGTCTGGACCTATGGCAGTCTCTATGGGGGTGCCACAGGGTTCAATTCTTGGGCCGACTCTTTTCTCCGTGTATATCAATGATGTCGCTCTTGCTGCTGGTGACTCTCAGATCCACCTCTACGCAGACGACACCATTTTGTATACATCTGGCCCTTCATTGGACACTGTGTTAACAAACCTCCAAACGAGCTTCAATGCCATACAACACTCCTTCAGTAGCCTCCAACTGCTCTTAAACACTAGTAAAACTAAATGCATGCTCTTCAATCGAACGCTGCTGGCACCCGCCCACCCGACTAGAATCACCACTCTCGACAGGTCTGACCTAGAGTATGTGGACAACTACAAATACCTAGGTGTCTGGTTAGACTGTAAACTCTCCTTCCAGACTCACATTAAGAATCTCCAATCCAAAGTTAAATCTAGAATCGGCTTCCTATTTCGCAACAAAGCCTCCTTCACTCATGCTGCCAAACATGCCCTCGTAAAACTGACTATCCTACCGATCCTTGACTTCGGCGATGTCATTTACAAAATAGCCTCCAACACTCTACTCAGCAAATTGGATGTAGTCTATCACAGTGCCATCCGTTTTGTCTCCAAAGCCCCATACACTACCCACCACTGTGACCTGTACGCTCTTGTTGGCTGGTCCTCACTACATGTTCGTCGTCAAACCCACTGGCTCCAGGCCATCTATAAATCACTGCTAGGCAAATCCCCGCCTTATCTTAGCTCATTGGTCACCATAGCAGCACCCACCCGTAGTCTGTGCTCCAGCAGGTATATCTCACTGGTCATTCCCAAAGCCAACACCTCCTTTGGCCGCCATTCCTTCCAGTTCTCTGCTGCCAATGACTGGAACGAATTGCAAAAATCTCTGAAGCTGGAGACTCTTATCTCCCTCACTAACTTTAAGCATCAGTTGTCAGAGCACCTTACCGATCACTGCACATGTACACAGCCCATCTGAAATTAGCCCACCCAACTACCTCATCCCTATATTGTTATTTATTTTGCTCTTTTGCACCCCAGTATCTCTATTTGCACATAATCTCTTGCACATCTAGCATTCCAGTGTTAATACTAATTGTAATTATTTGCACTATAGCCTATTTATTGCCTTACCTCCATAACTTGCTACATTTGCACACACTGTATATATATTTTCTGTTGTATTTTATGACCTTATGTTTTTTTTTACCCCATATGTAACTCTGTGTTGTTGTTTTTATCGCACTGCTTTGCTTTATCTTGGCCAGGTTGCAGTTGTAAATGAGAACTTGTTCTCAACTGGCTTACCTGGTTAAATAAAGGTGAAATAAAATGGTTATGTAATTTTATTGTGTTACTTTTTTTCCAATTCTTTATTATAGTTTATTTAGTAAATATTTTCTTAACTCTATTTCTTGAACTGAATTGTTGGTTAAGGGCTTGTAAGTAAGCATTTCACGGTAAGGTCTACACCTGTTGTATTCTGCTTATGTGACAAATTTGATTTGATTTGGATGAATATAAAATGTTCGGCCGAAGGTAACTAAAAGAAAATCTGCCTCTAAGACAATTACTTGAAGAATTTTATGGATGTTTTGTGTACAAAGGCGATGACTAAAGTGTCTTATTTGCTTCTTTTTTTATTTGACTTCTCTTTGGGGCTGTCTATGAAAATTGTATTTTTGCGCTTGACTTCAGCTAAACTGCAATACCGGAGCGGGCCTGTAGGTGCAGTGAAAGCGTGCTTCCAGACCGGAACACTGGGGCCTTGTTCTCAACCCCTATACGGGCTGGAGTGTAACGGGTTAATGAGAGACTGAGACTTGCTGGGACTGACAGACACACTCCTCTTCCCTCTCCTTTTATTCGCTCCTCTCCTCCTTCTTTCCCTTATTTAGGCTACCTTCTCTCTCTTCACCTCTCTTTTCTTCCTTGTTTTGTCTCCTCTGATTCCTCCCTCTCTCACAGTTTGTCTGTCTGTAACTCTCGCTGTTTGTCTGTCTGTCTCTCGCTCGCTCTCACTGTCGCTCTCTGACTCTCATCTGTCTGCCGTCGTCTGTGTCTGTCATTTTCTTTGTGTGTGTGTGTCTGTCTGTCGTTTTGTCTCTGTGTGTGTGTGTGTGACTGTGTCTGTGTCTGTGTGTGGTCACAGTGCTTTGCTTCAACATATGCTGTGTAGGAGCAGGGGCCAGGAGCGAGACCTGCAGGGGCGGGGCCTTCTGTCAACCTGGCAACTCTCCCTCAGCTCTCGCTCTGTGTGTGTGTGTGTGAGGGGAGGTTTTAGCCTGATCCTGATATCTGCTGCCCTCAAAGGAACACAGTGCATGATGGGAAAGCTGAGCAGACATATCTAATCACCTGCCATGCCACGGGGAGAAACCTCTCTGTTTCACACACACACACTTGACACAACATGGTTAAACCTAGCAAACGTGTCATTACACACATTCAACGACACACACTCAGCATTATTTTGCTGCCATTTACTGTTCTCTATTTCCACTGTGGGAATGTGCTTCAGCTCTGTCCCCACCCTATTGCTGCAGTATCTCTCTCTTTCCCTCCCCTGGCCTCTCTCTCTCTCACACTCTTTCCTCCCATGATCCCCTCTCCCTCTATCTCTCCCCCATCTCTCTCTTCCTCTCTCTCGCTCTCCCCCCCCTTCTCCCTTCCTCTACCTTCATCTCTCCCTCCCCATATCACCCCCTCTCTCTCTGTCCTCTCTCTCTCTCTGTCCTCTCTCTGTCCTCTCTCTCTTTCTGTCCTCTCTCTCTCTCTCTCTCTGTCCTCTCTCTGTACCCCTCTCTTTCTCTGTCCTCTCTCTCTGTCCCCCTCTCTCTCTCTGTCCCCTCTGTCTCTCTGTCCTCTCTCTCTATATGTCTCTCTCTCTCTCTGTCCCCCTCTCTCTCTCTGTCTAGTGAATAATATATGATGTGCTGTAGGTACAGAGTGCTGCTTTCTCTGTCAGGAGATGACTGGGAGGAGGAGGCTCTGTGTTAATGTCTGTTTCTACTGCAAGTATGTGTATCTACTGAGATTATGTGTTTCTACTGCAAGTGTGTTTTTACTGAGTTGATGTGTGTTTCTACTGCAAGTGTATGTCTACATTACATTTTAATACTGCAGATCTTCCTTCCTGGTTCTCCCCTATTTCACCATCACTCACTCACTCACTCACTCACTCACTCACTCACACACACACACACACACACACACACACACACACACACACACACACCCTCTGCAGCAGTGTCAGTGCCAGTGTTATAGATCCTGTGGTGTGTGTGTGTGTGTGTGTGTGTGTGTGTGTGTGAATGTAGTGGGAGCAGTGTGGACTGGTCTGGATAAACAGGGATTACAGGGAAACCGTTGAGCCCGGCCCAATCTCTCCCTGCGCTCCATCAATCCTATGTGTGTGTGCGTGCGAGTGTGTGCAAAGGCTCAAATTCCTTCGTAGATCGATGCAGGCTGGGATGAAGGATTGAAGGAGTGTTGATCTGAGGCTATTTAAAGTTCTGCCTTGGCTCAGAGAACTCAATAGACCTGAAGACATTTTAGCTACCCAACCTCATCTGACATCACACTTTGGTTTGAATACTATTCAAAATAATTTCAAATACTTTATCTGGGCTTGATTGAGCCTGCCTGGTGAAATGGAAACAATAGAATAGTCCCAAAGCTGAAAACCTCACCCAACTGGCACTCCAGGCAGGCTAGAGCAAACGCTCAAAGTATTTGTGGGATTTTAAAATATTAATTGAATGAATGTTCCTGAGTGGCTGAGTTACAGTTATGACTTAAATCTTCTTGAAAATCAATTTAAGTCAAAACTGTAACTAGGCCACTCAGGAACATTCAATGTCGTCTTGGTAAGCAGCTCCAGTGTATATTTGGCCTTGTGTTTTAGGTTATTGCCCTGCTGAAAGATGAATTTGTATCCCAGTCTGACCGTTGTTTGTTTCTTGCTGTGTTTTCTATTTGTTTTATGTATTCATGTGTGAGTTGTGCTTAGATTCTGACATAGACAATACTCAATGAATAGGTTGTATTAGAAAACATTGAAGATTAGGTTTTTGAGACTATATGGACAATAATTTCTCCTTCCTCCTGAAGTGTGCTCCCGTTCACAACTTTAAAAGCAGATTCAAAAGCATTGAATTGGTGTTGGCATGGGGGTCGTTCCATATGATTTCACTTTCTGATTGCACCCCTTTTGATTGGAATGAAACCTTCCATACATGTTTGCCCATGGTAGAAGTGGTCAGAAAGGGACTTTTTGGACCTAAATGCCAAAACATTCAGGTGCTCAAAGTTAACCCATTTTGCTTACCCAACCCTCCATGAGACACCCATGTCTTCATCACTGAAAAATATAAACGGTTGAGTTTTATATCATTTGAAAGCTTACAAACAGGATTGTCAAACAATTTGATGATTTATTGAAAAAAATGTTTTTTTAATAAATAAAAAAAGTCATTTACAGTAAATTATCTAAAAAAGCGTCAACTCCGATTTTTTTCATTTTCATATATGTTGTAGCGTCGTATACCCTATTTTACATAATCTGATGTGTTTGAGTTGTGCCTACCATCAGTTGAGACACAGCGTACTCTAGAATAAAGGGTAGGTGTCACGTTTTGGTTAATAAATGTCTTAAAATGTGAATAAAATTGAAGTTTCAACTTTCAAATGGTACCACAAAGATGGTGGGAGGTCCACACATAATGGGGGTGGGGCATGCAAAATGGGTCAACTTTGAGCACCTCTATCTCCTGAATTTTTTGGCATTCATGAATGGAAGGTTTCGTTGAAATCAAAAGGGGTGCAGTCAGAAAGTGATTGAAATCATATGGAATGACCAATGGGCTAGAGGGAGTTTCTATATACAGTGCATATAGAAAGTATTCAGACCCCTTGAATGGATTAAATAGTTTTTTCCCTCATCAATCTACACACAATTCCGCATAATGACAGAGCAAAAACAGGTTTTTAGACATTTTTGCAAATGTATGTAAAATAAATAATAATACTCAGTACTTTGTTGAAGCACCTTTGGCAGCGATTACAGCCTCAAGTCTTCTAGGGTATGGCGCTGCAAGCTTGGCGCACCTGTATATGGCGCTACAAGCTTGGCGCACCTGTATTTGGGGAGTTTCTCCCATTCGTCTATGTAGATCCTCTCAAGCTCTGTCAGGTTGGATGGGAGCGTCGCTGCACAGCTATTTTCAGGTTTCTCCAGAGATGTTCGATCGGGTTCAAGTCCGGGCTCTGGCTGGGCCACTCAAGGACATTCAGAGACTTGTCCCGAAGCCACTCCTGCGTTGTCTTGGCTGTGTGCTTAGGGTCGTTGTCCTGTTGGAAGGTGAACCTTCGCCCCAGTCTGAGGTCCTGAGCGCTCTGGAGACGGTTTTCATCAAGGATCTCACTGTACTTTGCTCCGTTCATCTTTCCCTCGATCCTGATAAATGTTCCAGTCCCTGCCGCTGAATAACATCCCCACAGCATGATGCTGTCACCACCATGCTTCACCATAGGGACAATTCCAGGTTTCCTCCAGACGTGAGGCTTGGCATTCAGGCCAAAGAGTTCAATCTTGGTTTCATCAGACCAGAGAAGCTTGTTTCTCATGGTCTGAGTGTCCTTTAGGTGCCTTTTGGCAAACTCCAAGCGGGCTGTCATGTCCCTTTTACTGAGGAGTGACTTCCGTCTGGCCACTCTACCATAAAGGCCTGATTGGTGGAGTGCTGCAGAGATGGTTGTCCTTCTGGAAGGATCTCCCATCTCCACAGAGGAACTCTGGAGGTCTGTCAGAGTGACCATCGGGTTCTTGGTCACCTCCTTCTCCCCCGATTGCTCAGTTTGGCCGGGCAGCCAGCTCTAGGAAGAGTCTTGGTGACTCCAAATCTCTTCCATTTAAGAATGATGGTGGCCACTGTGTTCTTGGGGACCTTCAATGCTGCAGACATTTTTTGGTACCCTTCCCCAGATCTGTGCCTCGACACAATCCTGTCTCGGAGCTCTACGGACAATTCCTTCGACCTCATGGCTTGGTTTTTGCTCTGACATGCACTGTCAACTCTGGGACCTTATATAGACATGTGTGTGCCTTTCCAAATCATGTCCAATCATTTGAATTTACCACAGGTGGACTTCAATCAAGTTGTAGAAACATCTCAAGGATGATCAATGGAAACAGGATGCACTTGAGCTCAATTTCGAGTCTCATAGCAAAGGGTCTGAATACTTATGTAAAAAACGTATTTATGTTTATAATTTTTTAGTTAATTAGCAAACATTTCTAAAAACCTGTTTTCGCATTATGGGGTATTGTGTGTAGATTGATGAGGGGGAAAAAATATTTAATCAATTTTAGAATAAAGCTGTAACGTAACAAAATGTGGAAAAAGTAAAGTGGTCTGAATACTTTCTGAATGCGCTGTATATTGTGGAGTGACACTTAAATAAATTTTTCTAACTAGAACTTGTGTCTCCATTAGTAACACCTGTGTTTGGCATGGGGCACTGCATGCCAGCTTTGTCTGTGTGCCAGCCAAGTCTCCAACCCTCCCTCTCTCCATCTCTCTCTCCATCTCTCTCTTTCTCTCTCTCTCCCTCTCTATCTCTCTCCTTCCTTCCTCCCCATCTCTTTCGCCAACCCTCCCATCTCTCTCACTCTCTCCCCCTCTCTCTCCATCTCTCTCTCCCTCTCTCTCTCTCTCTCTCTCTCTCTATCTATCTTTCCCCCCCTCTCCCTCCAACCCTCTACCTCCCTCCCTCCCTTTCTCCAGTCTCTCATGTTAACAATAGTAGCTGTTCAGATCTAATGATGTTCTAGTAGTAGAGCCAGTCAGTGTTAAATATCACCCCTCCTGTGCCTTTTAACACTCACTGAATGGAGGTTGGGATTTATTACCTTGGCAATGCCATTTTGTACATTTTAAAAGGCCTCAGAAAATGTCTCTTGCTCTCTTTTTTCTCTCTCTTTCTCTAATTACCATCCATATTGATATATTTCTCTAGGTGTGTTGTGTTCTGTAGCACTTTGCTTGACTATACATGTTTTCTGATTTTAGAACTTCCAGGCCCTCCCAAGGCAGCCAGTGCAGATCACTAAGAAGCAGTATGTTCAAGGTACAGTTAATCACACAACACACACATACAAAGTCAAATCCAGCCTCATAATGCATTATGCACAGCCTCTCTATACATTCAAGGTAAAACAAATCACCCCTCCCACACACACGCACGCACACAAACACACACACACGCTGATCTTAAGTTTTTTTGTACAGGCTTCCTACTTTTCACTCTTGTCATTTAGGTTAGTATTGTGGACTAACTACAATGTTGTTGATCCATTCTCAGTTTTCTCCTATCACAGCCATTAAACTCTGTAAATATTTTAAAGTCACCATTGGCCTCAATCCCTGAGCAGTTTCCTTCCTCTCCGGCAACTGCGTTAGTGACTATGTGTATTGATACACCATCCAAAGTGTAATTAATAACTTTACCATGGTCAAAGGAATATTCAATGTTTTTTTTGTTTGTTTTTTTTACCCTTCTACCAATAGGTGCCCTCCTTTGTGAGGCATTAGAAAATCTCCTTGGTCTTTGTGCTTGAATCTGTAAAATGCGCTGCTCAACTGAGAGACTTTACAGATAATTGTATGTGTGGGGTACAGAGAGGAGGTAGTCATTCAAAAATCATGTTAAACACTATGAGTCCATTCAGCTTATCATGTGGCCTGTTAAGCAAATGTTGATTCCTGAACTTATTTTGGCTTGCTGTAACAAAGGGGTTGAATACTTATTGTTTCAAGACATTTCAGCTTTTCATTTGTAAAAAAAAATCCTAAACATTCCACTTTGACATTATGCGGTATTGTGTGTGGGCCAGTGTCACAAAATCTCAATTTAATCCATTTCAAATTCAGGCTGTAACACAACAAAATGTGGAAAAGTAATGTGAATACTTTCTGTAGACACTGTAGCCAAGGTATCATTACTCATTATGTATTTATTCCTTGTGTTATCTATTGTTCTCTCTGCTTTGTTGGGAAGGGCCCGTAAGCATTTCACTCTTAGTCTACACCTATTGTTTACAAAGCATGTGACAAATAAAATGTTATTTGACACACACACTCTCAAACCCCAGAGAAAGTGATGGATGATAGAGGAAGGAAGCTTTGCAGAAACCCTCCCAGGCACACACACACACACACACACACACACACACACACACACACACAGAGAGAGACTTGATGAGCATTGTGGTAAATAAAGATCGTTTATGAAGGTAATAAACTGGATGACAGTAGTTATATGACACTGAAGGACTGGCTTGTACACACACTGAGCCCAAAGCCCTTCCCTGGCCAGTCTACTAAAACGGGTATTTACGTGACCTGGCAACTTCCACTTTGCTGTCAATCTATCCATAGAGACAGTTGCATACAGACAGTTGCATTCGTCACACTAGTCTTGCAGACATGTACACATTCTCTCTCCTTTTATTCACCCTGGTCATCACTAGTTCTATGGTTCTCTCTCTCTCTCCCCCTCTCTCCCTGCCTTCAGTGATTCATAGATGCTAGCATCAGCACCCCATGCGCTGCTCCTCACTCATCATATCCCCAGAGCACCTATTCATCAACTCTCTCTCTCTCTCTCTCTCTCTCTCTCTCTCTCTCTCTCTCTCTCTCTCTCTCTATCTCTCTCTCTCTCTCTCTCTTTTCTTTCCCTCTCTTTCTCCCTCCATCAGTCACCTAGCCCCTCTTTGAAGGTGATTGAAGCGCCAATCAGTCCTTATTAGAGGTGTTACACTGTGTTTTGTTGCCCTGTGTGTGTGCGTGCATGCGTGTGTGTGTGTGTGTGTGTGTGTGTGCATGCGTCCGGCGTGTGTGCGTGCCTGTGTGTGTGACGTTGATGGTAATCGTGATGGTGAACAGTAGGACGTTTTTCTCTTTTACTAGGTCGGGGTCAGCACTTCCCTGCCCAGGATAATGACGTGCTGTTAGATTCATCCTGATGGGATTCTGATTACCACTAACACCGACCCAGTTCAGTGTTTAGTAAACATAGCGATGGTTACTAGCTACTCATATCCTACCTGATCGAGCGAGATTGATGATCTAGACCTGTGGTCAGAGAAAGGGAGGAAGAGAGCGAGGAGAGCGAAGCGAGAGAGAGAGAGGAGAGAGGGAGAGGAGAAGAGAGAGAGAGGGGAGGAGAGAGGAAGAGAGAGAGGGAGAGAGAGAGAGAGAGAGAGAGAGAGAGAGAGGGAGAGAGGAGAGAGAGAGAGAGAGAGCGGAGGAGGAGAGGAGAGGAGAGAGAGGAGAGAGGAGAGAGGAGGGAGGAGAGAGAGAGGGAGAGGAGAGAGGAGAGGAGAGAGAGAGGAGTGAGAGCGAGAGAGCGAGAGAGGAGAGAGAGAGAGCGAGAGAGCGAGAGAGAGAGAGAGATATATCGTATCTGACGCTCGTCTCGTGTCGCCTCTTCGATCGCGAGAGCGCGTCTCGCGCTCTATCGCATCGCGCTCGCTTCTCTCTTTTCTCTCTTCATTTATACTCTATCTATCTCTATCTATATCTCCTCTCTTACTCTCTCTATCTCTCTCTCCTCCTTTATCCATCGCCTCCTTATATTTTCCCTACCTCACTATTTCTCGCTATATTTCCTTCTCATATTTCCATATAGAAAAAAACACGTAATAATTTTTTCCTCGTGTAATTGAAGTCAGGAGATGTCCTCTAGTTAACTTCTCACACATGTTGTATTTATAAGGCTGCCAGTTAATTAAAGCACTGACTGACTGACTGACTGGCTGGCTGACTGGCTGGGAAACTCCCCAGCACTACTCACTATAGAATGGAGAGGTGACAAGGCTGTTATAACACATTTATAACCTAAACATGATACATTATACATTATTCAGGCTCACTGTAAGATGGTAGCTCTGTTATATCTGTGTAAAAGTGGAAGTTAGTGTTTATAGCTGGGTATTTCATTTCGTTTATCCAGGATAGTCCATTCAGTAACACTTGCCACTGTTTTCCAGGGAGTCCTGGGTAATAGGATTGTACTGTATTAACATGGTTGGTACAGTAAAATGGTAAGTTAGGTTCATGGTGTTCCTCATGGCTGGCTGTGTGTTTGGTTCTCTCAGGAAAGGAGGCGGAGGTGGTGACGGTTCACCCACGGGCCATGTTCATCCCCCAGGACGGCTGCACCTTCCTGGCTGCAGGTAGGTCAAGGTCACACTGGCCACATCATTCATTATTAGTGTGCTTGCGTCAGCAAGTTATTCCTCATGCTTATTGCTATTATTCTCTTTTTTATACTGCTGAAGCAAGCACTCACATTTTCTTTAGGAAATGTACCTTCTCTAGTTTTTTATTTCAACCCCCTTTTAGAACCAAGACACAAGAAAATATCAATTGAGTGAATGTTTCACTTTCAGGGGTGAATGTACTGTATCGTTTTCCCTTTCTATTATTTTGTAACTAGCCTGGGTGGGATGGAAGGCGGTGGTCTCTCTCTGTCGCTCTTTACCCCCCCCCAGTACAGTTTTTCCTCATGGTCTATTCTCTGTGTAGAGTAGACTGAGCCATCTGAGATGTAGGCCTAGATTGTGTGTGTGTGTTTAGGCCAAGATGATATGACCTTTAGGAGTTATCGACTGTAGATGCACTATCTTTAGCCATCTTAATGCATTCCTGTTTGGATCAATAGGAGGATGCTAGTTGGTAGTATGACTGAAAAAATCTTGCTGGAGCAGACCTTGCCGAAACAACTCTATTATACACACACATGGGCAAGCACATCCACACACACACACACACACACAACCCCCCATCCCACACACAGTATTCTCTGGGCTACAAATGGTCCCAGAGGGAAATTTGATCTGACGCATAAAACATTGATGGAGAGATCTTTAGAAACTCCCCTTTATCTGCCTATGATCATCAGAAACACACACTTACACTCACTCACGCATGCACACACACACCCTTTATCAGCCTATCATCAAAGCACACTGCATTAAACTAGCTATCTTTATACCAGCCAACCAATATTAAATCAGCCAGGCCCAGCTCATCTAACACAGTCAGGGAGACACATTTTATCATTTTATAGCCAATTTCATTCGGTTGCAGGAGGGGATTGTGATTGTTTTGTCATCTTTTATTGGATTTTAATTTGATTTCAGAGCACTGCCGGCCAAGTGGAGGAATAGAGGAAAGGGGATGATAGGGTTCCCGCGGAAGAATGTGCCGGAGCAAATTGTCTCTGCCGCTGTCGAGAGTGACAGTGTTGAGATAGACCAATAACTGTATATGAATGGACAAAGCCATCGATCATGTGACACTATTCATTCCTATGTGAAGACTCAGTAGTGCATTTGAAGCCAAGGAAGTCGGTTAAGATGGCGTCTCATGGAGACAGCATGGCAGTTTGAGCTACTCCAGGAAGTGACATTGCAGGCTAGCTCAGTGCTGCCATTTCTCATTGAGTATCTCAAGTAGAAGGCCGACCGGGGTACTGCAGGCTGCCATTAGCAACTCAATTATCCTTATAACTTCTTCTGTGTGCAATTTTAAAATAATCTGTTCAAGGACATACATCTGGCGTCCTAGAAGCCAATGTGTCGGTATGTGTGTGTCGACATTTGCAAGATGGGAGTGACTCGGTCAGTGTTTGTGTGAGAGTTTGTGTGCCTGTGTCATTAAGCTCGTCTAAAGACATTGGTAGCTAGCTAGATAGTAATTTGGCTAAAAACAATGTATTAACGTGCTGATCATCGCTGCTCAGCGTTATCATGGCTTCAGATATTGCTGTCGGTGATGTCGAATCCAGCGTTTTTAGCTTTAGAGATATTCGTTAGTGTACTGTAGCTGTACCGCGACACTGTGACATCGTTGCATGAGACCAATCATTGAGTACGGCCATTTGTAACCCCACCCACCAGCCTACTTGGTTCGAGGTCAGTATCAGATATCAAACGAGGCTGGATATCCTGCTCGGTTCCAGGAAATGAAATAGGAACTGTGATATTCACGGCCCTGCAGTGGAAAAACACAATTAGAAGCTAATAGCTGAGTACATGTTTGTTTTACTGTGGAGAGAGAATGCAGGGCCGGCCATCGACATTCTCATCAAGCCCAGTTTGAAGCCCCAGCACTGAAATCAATGTTCGATCCACTAATTGAATTACACTGAATTGTGTGGTGTGTGTCTGTCAGCCTCTATCTCTCTTCAGTAGATGTGTATCAGTAATGGTAATTCTCCTGAACATTCCAGCCTCACAGCAGTATGATAAGGGATAGCAGGGTGTGGGGGTAAGGTAACTCAGGACCCCAGGCGTCTCACAGGAGGGGCTGGCTGGTTGCCTGCCTCATCAGCCATTCTCTCTCATCTGACAACAGGACCAGGAAGGGGGGAACACTCATCTGTTCCCCTCCTCTCGCTTCTTTTTTCTTTCGTCTACCTCTCTTTCGGTATCGATCCCCATATGTTCTTCTCCCACTCTAAATAAAAAAAAAACCACAAAAGATTAAGAAAAACTGATCAAACCCAAGAAGAAAAAGAAAAAAAAAGCGAAAAAGAGACAAAAGGGGAAAGAAAAAAAAGAAAAGCAAAAAAGAAAAAAAAAGAGAAAAAAAAAAAAAAGAAAAAAAACCAAAAAACCCCCCCACCCTCCCCCCCAAAAAACCTCTCATCCCCAAACTTACCATCCCTCCTCTCTAAACTACCCCCTTCTTTCCATCTCCATCCCCTCCCTCTCTCTCTCCACCTCTCCCATCCCTCTCTCTCTCCACCTCTCCCATCCCTCTCTCTCTACACGTGTTGTTTACAACATCTCCCTCTATTCTGTATCTCTCTTTGTCTTTCTGTTAATGACGTAACCACTGACTACCTGGTTCATTATCAGCTGATTACATTGTAAGTTATGTCAGTTAAGATACAAATGATGAATGATGATGGTAGTGAAAATGAACAATATTGTGGATAAGAATGATGATGATGATGATGATGATGATGATGATGATGATGGTGGTGGTGTGTGTGTCAGATTTCTGCCAGGTGGAACTGCGTCTGCTGGCTCACCTCTCCTCAGACCCTGAGCTGCTGAGGATCTTTAACAACCCACAGGCCGACGTCTTCACCATGCTGGCCTCACAGTGGTGGGTCACACACACACACACACACACAAACAGTCTCGCAGTGGGGGGTATCACAGACAAACAGTCTCTCGAACTCTATTGACACACACACACACACACACAGTCTCACAGTTTTTAGTATCACACACACACACATACATACTAATATGATATTCACGCATCTCACACAGTTTCGCCTCACATTTCACAATTCTATGACCTCTGATTTCCTCTCCTCCCTGCTACAGTAGCTAGTTTCCTCCTCTCTCTGTCTGTCTTTTCGTTGTACTCAACAGGACTGCTTTGGGGATGCTCAGTTCACAAACCACCCAGCCGTTTGGGATGAGCCTATCAACCCACAAACACACAAACACACACACACACATTCTCATCCACAGAGTCTCATACCGTATTCCCACGTTCACACACACACAGCCCATCAGTCAGCCCAAACCGCAGCATCACTTCAAATGCTCGTAGCCTTGTTGCCATGACTACAGCAGCAACCGGCGTATGAGGCTCCTTCCTCTCTGTCAGGGTACCTCCAGGCCGGTCGCCGCAGTGATTACACGGACGCTTTTTGAAATGTGTGTGTGCATGTTAAAAAAGGACCCTGTGGTGAGAAAAACAAGGGAGACCATTAGAACTGTTAGAACCCACTGTCAGAACACTGTTAACCAACTGATAGAACTGTTGGAACACTGTTAGAACGCTGTTAGAACTGTTTGAACACCGTTAGAACGCTGTTAGAACTGTTAGAATGCTATTAGAACGCTGTAAGAACTCTTTGAACACTGTTAGAACTGTTAGAACACTGTTAGAACACTGTTAGAACTGTTAGAACTGTTAGAACACTGTTAGAACACTGTTAGAACTGTTAGAACACTGTTAGAACTGTTTGAACAATGTTAGAACTGTAAGAACACTGTTAGAAATGTTAGAATACTGTTAGAACTGTTAGAACACTGTTAGAACACTGTTAGAACGCTGTTAGAACAATGTTAGAACTGTTAGAACACTGTTAGAACTGTTAGAACACTGTTAGAACTGTTAGAACACTGTTAGAACTGTACGAACACTGTTAGAAATTTTAGAATACTGTTAGAACTGTTAGAACACTATTAGAACTGTAAGAACACTGTAGAACCCACTGTTAGAACTGTTAGAACACTGTTAGAACTGTTAGAACACTATTAGAACTGTAAGAACACTGTTAGAACCCACTGTTAGATCTGTTAGAACACTGTTAGAACTGTAAGAACACTGTTAGAACCCACTGTTAGAACTGTTAGAACACTAT